CCACACAATATAAAAAATCACTAAGGCATTAGCTGCCCCGGAACTACCCTTCCAGCCACCCCAAACACTTATGACATTAAAAAAAAATTCTGTAAAAATCCTTCCGAGGGCCCTTTGAAGCTGGCTATTTTTTGTAGGACTCCCACAACACCTTCACACAATATAAAAAATCACCGAGGCATTTGCTGCCCCGGAACTACCCCTCCAGCCCCCCCAAACACTTATGACATTAAATAAGAATTCAGAAAAAATCCTTCCGAGGGCTCTTTGAAGCTGGCGATTTTTTGTAGGACTCATACAATACCTCTACATAATTTAAAAAATCACCAAGGCATTAGCTGCCCCTGAACTACCCCTCCAGCCACCCCAAAGTTTTTTATATTGTGTGGGGGTATTGTATGAGTCTTATAAAAAATCGCCAGCTTCAAAGGGCCCTTGGAAGGATTTTATCTTAAATTTTTTTTTCCAAGTGTAAGTTTTTGGGGTGGCTGGAGGGGTGGTTTTTGTGTTTTGAGGAGCTAATATATCATTTTTAGGGCTCACTGTCTCTATTCGAAACTGAAAAATCATTTTCAGTTTCAGGAGCAAAAAAAATTTTTTTTCGATTTTCGTTCATAAATGAACGTTCGGAACTTCAGGTACATATTTGTTTGGCTTAGGATGCTTGTAGAGGTTGTAAAATCGATTCGATTGGTATATAACTATGATTAGAAATGAACCGATCGAAAATTTTAAGCCTTACTCTAGTTAACTTTTGATAACATTTGATAACAATACCCGCGCGGACGTATGTAAAAATGAAAATTCTAAATTTTTTCCTAGTTAGTAAGCTAATCATTTGTTTGGCTTAGGGTGCTTGTAGAGGATGTAAAATCGATTCGATTGGTATTTAACAATGATTAGAAATGAACCGATTGAAAATTTTAAACCTTACTCTAGTTACCTTTTGATAACTTTTAATAACAATACCCACGCGGACATTTAAAAATGAAAATTCTAAATTTTTTCCTAGTTAGTAAGCTAATCATTTGTTTGGCTTAGGGTGCTTGTAGAGGATGTAAAATCGATTCGTTTGGTATATAACAATGATTAGAAATTAACTGATCGAAAATTTTAAACCTTACTCTGGTTAACTTTTGATAACTTTTAATAACAATACCCACGCGGACATTTAAAAATGAAAATTCTAAATTTTTTCCTAGTTAGTAAGCTAATCATTTGTTTGGCTTAGGGTGCTTGTAGAGGATGTAAAATCGATTCGTTTGGTATATAACAATGATTAGAAATTAACTGATCGAAAATTTTAAACCTTACTCTGGTTAACTTTTGATAACTTTTAATAACTATACCCACGCGGACATGTAAAAATGAGAATTCTAAATTTTTTCCAAGTTAGTGAGCTGATCATTTGTTTGGTTTAGGATGCTTGTAGAGGATGTAAGATCGATTTGATTGGTATATAACAATGATTAGAAATTAACTGATCGAAAATTTTAAACCTTACTCTGGTTAACTTTTGATAACTTTTAATAACAATACCCACGCGGACATTTAAAAATGAAAATTCTAAATTTTTTTCAAGTTAGTAAGCTGATCATTTGTTTGGCTTAGGATGCTTGTGGAGGATGTAAAATCGATTCGATTGGTATTTAACAATGATTAGAAATGAACCGATTGAAAATTTTAAACCTTACTCTAGTTACCTTTTGATAACTTTTAATAACAATACCCACGCGGACATTTAAAAATGAAAATTCTAAATTTTTTCCTAGTTAGTAAGCTAATCATTTGTTTGGCTTAGGGTGCTTGTAGAGGATGTAAAATCGATTCGTTTGGTATATAACAATGATTAGAAATTAACTGATCGAAAATTTTAAACCTTACTCTGGTTAACTTTTGATAACTTTTAATAACAATACCCACGCGGACATTTAAAAATGAAAATTCTAAATTTTTTCCTAGTTAGTAAGCTAATCATTTGTTTGGCTTAGGGTGCTTGTAGAGGATGTAAAATCGATTCGTTTGGTATATAACAATGATTAGAAATTAACTGATCGAAAATTTTAAACCTTACTCTGGTTAACTTTTGATAACTTTTAATAACTATACCCACGCGGACATGTAAAAATGAGAATTCTAAATTTTTTCCAAGTTAGTGAGCTGATCATTTGTTTGGTTTAGGATGCTTGTAGAGGATGTAAATTCGATTCGATTGGTATATAACAATGGTTAGAAATGAACCGATCGAAAATTTTAAGCCTTACTCTAGTTAACTTTTGATAACATTTGATAACAATACCCGCGCGGACGTATGTAAAAATGAAAATTCTAAATTTTTTCCTAGTTAGTAAGCTAATCATTTGTTTGGCTTAGGGTGCTTGTAGAGGATGTAAAATCGATTCGATTGGTATTTAACAATGATTAGAAATGAACCGATTGAAAATTTTAAACCTTACTCTAGTTACCTTTTGATAACTTTTAATAACAATACCCACGCGGACATTTAAAAATGAAAATTCTAAATTTTTTCCCAGTTAGTAAGCTGATCATTTGTTTGGTTTAGGATGCTTGTAGAGGATGTAAGATCGATTTGATTGGTATATAACAATGATTAGAAATTAACTGATCGAAAATTTTAAACCTTACTCTGGTTAACTTTTGATAACTTTTAATAACAATACCCACGCGGACATTTAAAAATGAAAATTCTAAATTTTTTCCTAGTTAGTAAGCTAATCATTTGTTTGGCTTTGGATGCTTGTAGAGGATGTAAGATCGATTTGATTGGTATATAACAATGATTAGAAATTAACTGATCGAAAATTTTAAACCTTACTCTGGTTAACTTTTGATAACTTTTAATAACAATACCCACGCGGACATTTAAAAATGAAAATTCTAAATTTTTTCCTAGTTAGTAAGCTAATCATTTGTTTGGCTTAGGGTGCTTGTAGAGGATGTAAAATCGATTCGATTATTATATAACAATGATTGGAAATGAACTGATCGAAAATTTTAAACCTTACTCTGGTTAACTTTTGATAACTTTTAATAACAATACCCACGCGGACATTTAAAAATGAAAATTCTAAATTTTTTCCAATTTAGTAAGCTGATCATTTGTTTGGCTTAGGATGCTTGTGGAGGATGTAAAATCGATTCGATTGGTATTTAACAATGATTAGAAATGAACCGATCTAAAATTTTAAACCTTACTCTAGTTACCTTTTGATAACTTTTAATAACAATACCCACGCGGACATTTAAAAATGAAAATTCTAAATTTTTTCCTAGTTAGTAAGCTAATCATTTGTTTGGCTCATGATGCTTGTAGAGAATGTAAAATCGTTTCGATTGGTATATAACAATGATTAGAAGTGAACTGATCGAAAATTTTAAACCTTACTCTGGTTAACTTTTGATAACTTTTAATAACAATACCCACGCGGACATTTAAAAATGAAAATTCTAAATTTTTTCCTAGTTAGTAAGCTAATCATTTGTTTGGCTCATGATGCTTGTAGAGAATGTAAAATCGTTTCGATTGGTATATAACAATGATTAGAAGTGAACTGATCGAAAATTTTAAACCTTACTCTCGTTAACTTTTGATAACTTTTAATAACTATACCCACGCGGACATGTAAAAATGAGAATTCTAAATTTTTTCCAAGTTAGTGAGCTGATCATTTGTTTGGTTTAGGATGCTTGTAGAGGATGTAAATTCGATTCGATTGGTATATAACAATGCTTAGAAATGAACCGATCGAAAATTTTAAGCCTTACTCTAGTTAACTTTTGATAACAATACCCACGCGGACGTATGTAAAAATGAAAATTCTAAATTTTTTCTAAGTTAGTAAGCTAATCATTTATTTGGCTTAGGATGTTTGTAGAGAATGTAAAATCGATTCGATTGGTCTATAACAATGATTAGAAATGAACTGATCGAAAATTTTAAACCTTACTTTAGTTAACTTTTGATAACTTTTAATAACAATACCCACGTGGACATGTAAAAATGAAAACTCTAAATTTCTTCCAAATTAATAATTTAATCAACTGTTTGGCCTAGAATCCTTGTAGAGAATGTGAAAACGATTCGATTGATGTATAATTATGATTAAAAATGAACTTATCGACAATTTCAAATACGGGTGTGCGAATATTGTTCCAATTGAGTATTGATATTCGATTTGAAATTCAAATCTTTCGAATTTCAAATCAAAAAAAAAATTCGAATTTTTTCGAATTATTCGTCGAATTTCGAATAATTTGAAAATTCAAATTATTCGATTCGAATTTTGAATCGAATATTAATATTCGATTCGAAACGAATAATTAGTATGTTCGAATTATTCGCACACCCCTAATAATTAAATATTTAGACTTAGTAAAAATCTAAGTAAACTTTCAAAAATTAATTTTTGATAATAAATATTTGAACAAAAATGATTAAATATCAGCTGATTTTAAATATTGTTGCTTTTACTTCAATATAATTAAATAAAAATAAATATATTAGTAAACAAACCTGAGCAAATTTTTATACTTCTCATCAAAAGAATGAGATTGTCTTTTAGCATGAGTTAAAAGTGCCTCGTAAGTAGAAAAATTTTTAAAACAACTGCAGGTAAACTCCAGACCGCAGACTCTGATGTGCGCGACTTTAGCAGCTTCTGTTGAAAAACTTTTATCACACTGCGTACACGAGAATGTTTTAGCAGCATGAACTTTCAGGTAATGCTAAAATAAAAAATATCCAATAATTAAATTTTTAATAAATTTTCCAATATTTAGATAAAAATTTATTTGATAATTTTTTTAACAAATAAATTATGTCAAAAAAACATTGACAGAAGTTTTTAAAAAATAATTTATTTGTTAAGTAAAATTAAAAATCAATCAAGTGACTGCTAAATTAAATGTCATTAAAATCGCTTACCTGTTTTAAGTACTTCATCGTTGTAAAGTATCGTTGAGAAGTAGTAGAATAAATACAAGATACCTCGGGACAGTGATACTTGATAGACTCCTTGGCTATTTTATCTAAATTTTTACGCTGGTGTACTTTCAAGTCATGAAGACGAAATCGGGACTCATTCTGAAATACGAGCCCACACTGATTGCACCTCACATTATTTATAATTACACTCAATTCTTCAGCTGACGGGCAGACTATTTTTACGAGATTCAGGATACTTGTATCGACTTTGACGTTTACGGTCTCCATTTTATATACGAGCCGGTTCTTTTATTTTTATTTAGATCGGCAATGTATATAGATATATGTCTAGTCTAGAGTCGTCGTCAGGAAGTTGAGAGTTATTTGTTATTGCTGGACAAATGATAGATACTAACACAAAAATAAATAAGTGTGTGTGTGTGTGTGTGTGTGTGTGTGTGTCAAGTGAAAATAAATTCTAAGCCATGTGTGATGTCAACTAACTACACTCTAGCCTTCACTGTATTTACGCCATGTTCAAGTGATGCGCGTTGGTTTTCTGCGCAGTCAGCTGATCCAAGCTGATTATTGTTATCTTCACAGCAAGCTGTCAGTTTTGTAGAAAATTTTATTTATTAATTTTGAATTATGTGGAAAGTTTTTTATTTATGTGTTTAAATTATTAAAAATGAATAAGAATATTAACTCACCTACTAAGCTGACTGAATTTGCTCCTTTAAGTCCCCAAGAGAAGCAACCAGTTGTAGCATCGCTAATTGAAAAATTTTTTAGTTTTACAAGAAGTAAGTTTTTAATTTTTTATTAAAATATAAGTGAGTGATTATTATTGAATTTAATTAATATTCATGTGTCACATCATATTTTTTAACTTTTTAAATCGATAAAATATTTCTAAAAATTAAATGACATTAGAAACTTTTATACTAATGAAATTACTATGAAAAAAAATTTAATAAATAAATTCTATCTAAGTGTGAAAATTAAAAAACAATTATTAGAAATTTTTTTAATTGTTGATATGTTATAAAAATTAAAAAAATTGACAGTTGTCAGCTGACTTCAGTGTTATAAAATTAATTATACTGAGTATAACAACCATCTGACCATTTTAATTATTATTTTTAACAATTAAATTAAAAAAAAATTATAATTTTAATAAAATATTTTTGTTTTGCACTTAAATAAATAAATTTCTTAAATAATACCAAAAAATTTACAGATGTCTGTTAATGTCCATAATGATCATTAAAATTACTTAAAATAACTTTTAGAAATTTTTTTATTGAAAAATTATTACAAAAAAAAAGAAAATAAAAAATTTCACTTGTAAAAAACTTGAAAAACTATCAGTGCAATTTTTTAAAAATATTTTTTAATTTTTATTTAATAATTAAAAATGTCGGCTAACTTTAGTATTATTAAAATTGACCAAAATATTAATATAAAACAACCTTATAGATGTTCCAGAAAATCCAGAACCCGGAGCATCAGTATCCTCTGAAATCTCCCCAAGCATCGACGACCAAAGTTCCTCAGGCGACTCAGGCTCCTGGCGAGTCGACAGCTCAGAAAAAACCCCCGAAGACAGTAGCTCCAGCAGCATGGCCTTCAGTTTGGACGCCTCGGAAGGCCGAAGCTTGCCCAACGTCCTCAAGAGAATCAGCAACATCGTCGCCTTGAAGAGCAACAACCTAAAGTCCTACAAAGACTCTCACCTGCGAAGCTACTGGATGCCAGACAAGAAAGCCAAGCAATGCTACGAGTGCTGCGAGAGGTTCACGACCTTCCGCAGAAGACACCACTGCCGAGTTTGCGGTCAGATCTTCTGCTCCAAGTGTTGTTCCGACGAGATTCCCGGGAAAATAATGGGCTGCACCGGGGACCTCAGAGTCTGCACCTACTGCTGCAAGGTAGTCTTGTCCTATTTACAATCCTCCGACATGAAAAGCGTCCTCTCCGCGGATTTAAAAGCGCTGCAAGAAGATCTGGAGGTTAAATACGGCGGAGACACTCTAGCTGTCGCAGAAGTCCAGTCTAACATGGAAGACGAGACGCGAGTGTGCAGAAAAACCAGTGTTGGCTACATGGAAGAAAAATACGCCCTCGGAACTCACTCAGGAGACTACCTAACTTCTCACGAGCGCTCTATAGTCCTAAAAAACTCAGCTTCTTTAAGAATCATCTGCGAGGAGCTATTCAGATCTTCAAAATCAATCCCATTGCAAACTCACAGGGTCAGATTGAAGAACTTCTACAACTGCTTTACCGGGAACGAGCTAGTTAACTGGATGATTTCTCAAAACAAAGCAGCGACTAGAATCCAAGCAGTCGCTATTGGTCAGGCTTTGTTCCAAGCTAACTACATCGAATCTTTACAATCTGACACTGAATTCACTGATTCTGCTGCGATATTTCGTCCCACTAACAATTTATCTGATGATAATCTGCTTAATAAAACCTCTTGTGATAGCCACGAGCCCGCTTGGGTTAAAAATATCCCCCAGCATGATTCTACAGGCACTGACTCAGAAAGTGAGACTAAACAGGCAGAAATAATCCGCATTCCTTCTTCAGGGTCCAGTTTTTATCTAGATCTTGATGTTGGAGCTTCTACAGTTACTCTAAAGCGTCCTAGTTCTTCAGATAATTTTTTTACTGATGCTGGAGACTCAGAAAATCATCAACAGCAAACTTTGAAGAATCATCAATGTAATACTGCTGATGAAATGATCAGTGATGAGAATCTAGTCCAAGAAGTCAAAGTAAGAAACTGCTGGCACAAACCAAACCTCCTAAGGAACTCTTATGGAGAAATGGCAGCTTATAATTCCCTGAGTCTGGCTTTTAAGCAGCATGAAGATTATTTAGTGAAGCAGCTGCTGAACAATCAAGGCCTAGCTTCCAGCTGGGCAGAAGTAATCCTTCCTCTGGCTCATCAAGTGGTAGATCAGGTTAGACCCAACCAGAACCATGATGCTGAAGACATGGACATCCGCCAGTATGTTCAGATAAAAAAGTCCCCCGGTGGAGCTAGAGATGATTGTGAAATCCTCTCTGGAGTCTTCTGCAGCAAGAATGTAGCTCATAGGGGAATGAATGCGATGATAGCGAATCCCAAGATTCTTTTGCTGCAGTGCGGGTTGATGTACCAGCGGGTGGAGGGAAAATTGTTGAGTCTAGAGCCGGTGATGCTCCAGGAGAAAGAGTACCTGGGTCATACCGTCGCGAGGATCATGGCGTTGAAGCCGGATATTGTCATGGTCCATAGATCAGTTGCGAGACTGGCTCAGGATAGGTTTAGAGAATGTGGGGTTACTTTGGTGCTAAATGTTAAGCTTAGTGTGTTAGAGAGAGTCGCTAGGTGCACTGGTGCTACTATTGTTAATACAATTGACGCGCATTTGACGACGCATGTTAAATTGGGAACGTGTCAGAAGTTCTATTTAAGGAACTTTCCGAGGGATAATAATTGTATTAAGACTCTGATGTACTTTGAGGGGTGTGCTAATGGTCATTTGGGTTCGGGGATTCATTTGAGAGGCGGCTCGCTGGTAGAGCTGAAAAAGGTTAAAAATGTTGTGGCGACCATGATTTTTGCTGCGTATTCTTGGAGGCTGGAGAATTCATTTTTGATGGATGAATTTGCAAAGCCGCCGTCGCCTAAGGATTATTTTTTTAATGAAAGTTTGAGGAGAGATTCTTTGAAAGCTTTTGAAGCTGATGGAAAAATTTATGATTCTTTGGAGAATTTTGAAGAAGAAGAAGATGGAAAAATTAGGGTTCAAAAAATTGAGAGTGAGAAGAAGGGTAAAGATAAAGTTGAAGAAAAACGCAGCCATGGTGAATTTGTCAGTGATTTGAGCGACCCGTTGCATCAATATTTAAACGAGCAAGATGACGTTGTCCTTCCGAATAATTCAAGCTTGAGTTTGAGCGTAGCAGACCTTCCTCTGTTAAATAAATTCAAGAAGTCTTTAGACGGGACTATTTTAAGCTTCTCGCCTTATTTAAAATTTTCAATTCCTTATTTGGAAACAGAGACAGGCAGAAATTGTGTTTTAAGGAAATTTTTTCCAAAAGATATTTATTATTCTCCGCAATTATTAGATTTGTTAGAAGGAACTAAAATTGGGAATAATATTCCTCAACAAATGCAAAATAAACTTGAATTTAAACCTAGACACCCTTTTACGTTGGCAAGACTGACTGCGGGGATAGAATCCAGGGAAGTCCAGGCTTTAGTTGCGGACTTTCGCGCCAGAGGGAGCAGATTGAATCCTACGAATAATGTTCTGCTGCCAACTGTTAAAACAGAGGCGCAGGAAGTGCCAACTGCGAAGTGGCCCGACTGTTTGGACCCGCTGAGCCATCAGAGACTGGCAGTATTGTTCTGCAGCTTTTCTCACAACGCTGATAATGTTCCTAAGTTCTGTGTGAACCCCTGGGTGGTTAACATGGATCTTTATGGCAGGAATGACATTGCTTTGGGTAGATTTTTGGAGAGGTACTGCCTGACTTCGGAGTACAAGTGCCCCGCAGCTGGTTGCAGGCTCCAAATTGTCCAGCATGCCAGGAGGTTCGCTCATGACAGCAGCTGCATTCATGTTACTTTGAAGAAGATGGCCGCGGATCCTTTTGGTCAGGAGAACAGCAGGGATATATTGATGTGGAGCAAGTGTGTCAAGTGCAAGAATGTCTCTCCAGTTGTGCCTATGTCTTCGGACACATGGTCGCTGTCTTATGCGAAGTATTTGGAACTGAGGTTCTATTGTAGTGCTTATACTAATAGAAGCTCTGAAACCTGCTCCCATTCGTTACATCATGATTACAATCAGTATTTTTCTAGAGGAAACATGCTGGCTATTTTTAAGTACACGACTATTTCGCTTTGGGAAATTTCACTACCTCCTCCGGTTATTCATATTATTTATGATGCAAAGCAGCACGCTAATGTTATTGAAGAGATGAAGAATATTGCGCTTAAGGGGGATGAGGTCTTTTCTAATATTAAAGACAAGTTGATGACTTTGCAGTTGGAACCTGATAGTTTGAATGCTGCCAAGCAACAGGTAAGATATATTATTAAGAGAATAAGAAAAATTTGGTTCTAGGTACATAATCTTGTGAATTATTGAAATTTTTGAAGATCTAAGCTCATCCTGATGTTAGAATCATCAAGAGCTTTCATTAGAGTACCCACATCAATTTTTCATATATTTATATATATTATATATATATGTATATATGAAAAATATATCAAAAATGCATGTGGGTACTCAAATGAAAGGTCTCGATGAGTATAACATCAGAATGGACTTATATTTACGAAAATGTTAAGTTTTAAAGATTTACTGTTGTATTTTGTTAACTATTGATGGTTTTAACGATATAAGCTCATTCCGATATTATACTCATCAAGAGCTTTCATTTGAGTACCTACATGCATTTTTGATATATTTTATATATTTATATATTATATTATATATATATTAAAAATATGTCAAAAATGCATGTAGGTACTCAAATGAAAGGTTTCGATGAGTGTAATGTAAGGGTAAGCTTATATCTTCAAAAATATCATCAGTTGACAAGATACAATGTCATCTCTTAATTATTGATATTTTTTCAGATATAAACTCATTTTGATGTTACATTCATCGAGACCTTTCATTTGAGTACCCACATGCATTTTTCATATATTTTATATATTTATATATATGTATATATGAAAAATATATCAAAAATACATGTGGGTACTCAAATGAAAGCTCTTGATGAGTGTAACCTCAGGATGAGCTTATATCTTTAGAAATGTCAATAGTGAAGAAAATACAGTACTTTTTAACAAAACTCATTAATTTTATTTATTATATAAAATTTTTTTAAATAAACAATTAATTTTTTTTTTTTTTTATCATTTTAGGTAGCAAAAGAGCAACAGTATTTCAAAAATAAAATCGAAGAGGTCCAATTAAAATTAACATCTCCAACTTTAGAAAACACAAAGCTAGAAGGCAAGAGTTCGGAGAAACAAGTCCAGACTTTCATGTTCCGAATCGAAGATGGACTGGTGATTCTCAAAAGACTCATCTCAGAGGCAGTGTCTAATTGGAACGACAGAATTTACGACATAACTTCAAAGAAGAAAGACGCAAGGCCTCGTAAATTTACTGACAGGTCGCAAACTGCGGGTAGTATCAACGGAATCGTAGACACTGACGGCTACATAACGGAAGACACCGCCTCAGAGTCGCTAATCGAGGACCTGAGCCCGATGTCTGCGGACTACAATGCGATAGAAGCTATCTCTGCGGTGCCCAACAGCGGCCAGAGTGACCAGTACCTCGCGGACATGCTCGAGAGTTCGGACAATGAGCTCCAGGATCACGAGGTGGTCGTTGTTAAGGACTCGCCAAAGTCCCACCATCGCTCCTACTCGGACGTGCTTCCTGTGACTTGTGAAGACATTCCAGACCGCAAGAAGAAGAAGAAGACTATCTTGTCACAGCTTTTACCTTCAACTACTATCACCACGCCTATCAGCAATCCTTTGAGTGCTCTGGAGCATCACTTGCTTCCTCTGGGGTCAGTTGTCCCTGTTGTTGTCTACGAATCCGAGCCCTCTTCTATTATCGCTTATGCTTTGGACTCTCATGATTATAAGCATGCGCTGCAGGAGATTATTCGGACCACCAAAGTTGGAGATCAGAGCTCCAGTCCTTTAATTAAGCGAAAACTTGATAGTAAAGATAATTCTATTGAATCTGGGCAGTCAGGTAAGAATTTTTTATTATTTTTATTATAACAATAATTATTTTGGCACTTAAAAAAGTTCTTTAATAATAATTAGCACTACGTGACTGCTGTAACTTGTGAACTAGAAATAAATAAAATTTTGCTTTGTTAAATAATTACTTTTGTTAAATTGAACTGTACTTTCTTAAATATTGACGTTTTTTAAGATATAAGCTCATCTTAATATTACACTCATCAAAACCTTTCATTTGAGTACTTACATGCATTTTTGATATATTTTATATATTTATATATATTATATATATATATATATATGTATATATGACAAATATATCAAAAATGCAAGTGGGTATTCAAATGAAAGATCTCGATTAGTGTGTAACATCAGAATGGACTTATATTTATGAAAATGTTAAAAATTAAGGAATAAGTGTTGCATTTTGTTAATTAAAAGTGTTTTTGAATATATAAGCTCATCCCGATGTTACACTCATCAAGAGCTTTCATTTGAGTACCCACATGCACTTTTCATATATTTGTCATATATACATATATAAATATATAAAATATATGAAAAATTGATGTAGGTACTCAAATGAAAGGTCTCGATGAGTGTAACATCGGGATGAGCTTATATTTTAAAAAATGTCAATAGTTCACAAGATACAAGCTCAGTTTCTTAACTATTGACATTTTTTTAAAATATAAACTTATTTTGATCTTACACTCATCGAGACCTTTCATTTGAGTACCCACACGGTATTTTTTATATATTTTATAGATATGGTATTTGTGAAATATATGAAAAATGGATGTGAGTACTCAAATGAAAGGTCTTGATGAGTGTAACATCAGGATGAGTTTATATCTTTAAAAATATCAATAGTTCTCAAGATACAAGGTCATTTCTTAATTATGTGTCTAAATTATTATTATTATTATTATTATTATTATTATTGTTTTTCTTCAATTATAATATTAATAAATATATTTATTATTTTAGAAAATAATTTACAAACTGCAGTAGCTGATAATGAAGAAGAAAATAAAACAATAAAGCAGCATAATTACATCGAAGTCCAATTTGCAGACAGTACAACAAATTTCTACTGTCGAATATATTTCGCAGCTCAATTTGCAGCTCTAAGAGACAATGTGCTACCCTGTGGTGAGGATGGCTTCACCAGAAGTCTGTGCAGAAGCGTCCAGTGGGCTGCCAGAGGTGGAAAAAGTGGAAGCACTTTTTCTAAAAGTCGGGATGATAGATTTATCCTCAAAGAACTTTCGCGTGTTGAGATGCAAATATTCCTGGACTTTGCGCCGAATTATTTCGCATACATGGAGAAATGTCAGCAGACTAAGCAGCCAACGCTCTTGGGAAAAATAGTTGGAGTTTATCGCGTGTCTTTCAAAAACAATACTACCAACGCTGCTCTGAGGACCAGTGTCTTGGTGATGGAGAATCTGTTCTACTCAAGGACCATCACTGACAAATATGACTTAAAAGGTTCCGTCAGGAACAGGCTGGTCAATCTTGAGGAGGCTGACCAAGAAGGCGAGCTAGTTTTGCTGGATGAAAATTTGTTAAACATGAGCTGTGATTCTCCGTTGTATATTAGACCGCATTCAAAGTCTGTTTTGAACAAAGCTATTGAGCAGGATACTAAATTTTTGGCTGATAATTCTGTGATGGATTATTCACTGCTAGTAGGTCTTGAGCCAGAGTCTAATCAATTGGTTTTGGGAATTATTGGTAAGTCATTTTTTAATTTTATTATTATCAATATTATTGAGAGAATAAGGAAAATTTGGTCTCCAGGCCAATTTATTCAGCATTCAAAAATGCTCTATCTTTAGATATATAATTAAGAAATGACCTTGTGAAATGTTGACATTTTTAAAGATATAAGCTCATCCTGATGTTACGCTCGTCAAGAGCTTTCATTTGAGTACCCACATCAATTTTTCATATATTTTATATATTTATATATATCATATATATGTATATATGAAAAATATATCAAAAATGTCATGTGGGTACTCAAATGAAAGGTCTTGATAAGTGTAATATAAAAAGAAGTTTATATCTTAAAAAATGTCAATAATTAAGAAATGACCTTGTATTTCGTGAACTATTGACATTTTTAAAGATATAAGCTCATTCCGATGTTACGCTTATCGAGACCTTTCATTTGAGTACCCACATTAATTTTTCATATATTTTATATATTTATATATATTATATATATGTATATATGAAAAATATATCAAAAATGTCATGTAGGTACTCAAATGAAAGCTCTTGATGAGTGTAACATCGGGATGAGCTTATATCGTTAAAAACGTCAATTGTTATAAAAATACAGTGCAATTTAACAAAGGTCATTATTTAATAAAGCAAAATTTTATTTATTTATTTATAGTTCACAAATCACATAGTTGTTATTATTATTATTATTATTATTATTATTATTATTATTGTTTTAGATTATATAAGAACATTTACTTGGGACAAAAAGTTAGAAACAATGGTCAAAAAATCAGGAATACTGGGCGGCCAAGGCAAACTACCGACAATAGTCTCTCCAGAAGAATATCGCGCTAGATTTATAGCTGCGATGCACAGATATTTCTTACCTGTGCCCGACCGATGGACCGGGCTAGGTCGCGGTGTTGAGACACCTTGAATTTATTAATTCACTCAAAGAGAATTATAATTTATAAATAACAACCTGCAGTATAATAAGTGTACATAACTGAGTATTGAATCTAAATACTCATTTTTGTTACGTCAATGTGATTTTTACAGTATGTTTATATATTTATGTACATAAAATTAAATATTCTGTATTTTAATTTTTTAGAAAGTTTTTATAAATTAAATTGTAAATGTATTTTTATTTTTTTTTAAAGTCAAATTTTTATTTTTATTTAAAATAAATAAAAATAAAAATTTTACTAAATAAAAATCAAGTTAAAAAAAAATTTTTAAAAATACATTTACTAATCTATAAATTAATTAAACAAAAATCTATTTTAAATATAAATAATATTTATAATTTATAAAATAAAATAAATAAGTAATATTAAAAATTTTAATTAGAAAGCATCATAATTTACGATTTATTTGGACAATAACATTTTTTTTTTTTCCCCATAATTATATACATATTCAATATTTAAAATAATCGTAAATTAAACAACGTAATTATAGCCAAATATATGGATAATAATAGCCGTAAAATATTGTTTATAAGTTCTCTTAAAATTGAGAATAATAAGTAATGTATATAGTTTATAGTTATAGTATATTTTACAACGAATTTATTTACAGGCATAGTTTATATCGATCGTAACAATATACTTAAACTTTAACTAATAAAAATAATAGTTAATAAAGTAAACAAAACATTAAATTATACTGAAAGTAAGAAATATATATTTAAATTTATATATATATTTTTTACCACTTGTCGTAATACTTTACGGGTGGGACTAAACATTAATTAATATTCTTCACATAATTATGATTAACAATTTAAAAGTTTCAACAGTTTGACAACAAAAAAAAAATTATTTATAAAGCTTCGTCCAAGCATACCTGAGCAAAATAATTCCAATAGGTGTCAATCCTTAATTATTATAAAATTAATCATATTAATTTTAAATAAAATCGTCAGTGCTCATATTTATACCAGGCAGTTATTTAAATCTCTTGTACTCGAGCAATTAATTAATTAATTGCAGTAAACAATTACACACTTTCTCAAAAATCTAATCTAATTCTAAAATTAACAAAAAAAAAAAAAAAAAAAAAAAAAAACTATGACTAATTACTTTACGTGGAAGCAAATTATTTAATTATTTGTAAGCGATACGTCATAGTTTGAAAATAAGTCTCATAAAGGACGATCAAAATCAAAAATTAAAATAAGACAAAATTAGTACATGACTATATATTGACAGCAAAGCGGTATAATAATAATAATCATTATCAATTGTGGTCATTAATTTGAGTAGGTTATTAAGTTTACTAGATAATTATTTGTGAACTCATTTCTTAATTATAGACATTTTTTAAAATATAAACTCATTTTGATGTTAGACTCATCGAGACCATTCATTTAAGTACCCACATGGCATTTTTTATATATTTTATATATATGGTATTTGTGTAATATATATAAATATATGAAAAATCGATGTGGGTATTCAAATGAAAGGTCTTGATGAGTGTAACATCGGGGTGAGCTTATATCTTTAAAAATGTCATTAGTTCACGAAATACACGGCCATTTCTGAATTATTGACATTTTTTAAGATATAAACTCATTTTGATGTTATACTCATTGAGACCTTTCATTTGAGTACCTACATGTATTTTTGATATATTTTTCATATATAAATATATAAAATATATGAAAAATTGATGTGGGTACTCAAATGAAAGGTCCTGAAGAGTGTAACATCGAGATGAGCTTATATCTTTCAAGATAATGTCACAACTGACATTATCAACTGATTTTCAAATTTATAATATAAAATAATAATTAATAAACGTTCTAATTTACAAACTATTTCCCAGTAATATTAAAAAAGTACTTGAATCAATAACCACAATTATACATGCTCTCATATGAATGCGTCAATGACGATAATTGTCTTAAAAAATCAACAATAACGTTTTTTTTTTGTACCTTACAAGTCAGGGAGCTTCTTAAATCACATAAAACACAAATACATATAAATGTTTATAGTTATTGTTTCTGAGTTATCACAAACTCATCATCATTTTAAATATTTTTTTTTAATCACCACGACTCATTACTTATTACTTTAATTTAATAGCTAGTGATATCGCTATAAGTCTTACTCTATCTACTTAATAATATTTACTGTATATATTTTTTTTAAATATATAAGAGTACTTTATTAAAGACACTCGTTATTAAATTCTTAGCAACGGACGATGGTACGTTATTTAAAAATATCAATTTCATCTTAATTATTAATTGATATTTTTTATAATCTCGCGTTGAGTTTTTTTTTTTTTTTTTTTTTTTTCCAATAAAATAACTTAAAGCAAAAATATTAATATTAATAATCTTAATTAATAAAAAAGATTCCTCACTCGGTTGATAAATCTTATACTATAGTTATATAAGATAAATTTCCTCAAGAGGAACAGGAGGTATTTTTCGACTTGTCTTGCTTGTCATAGTGCTTATGCAAGTAGTAAGCTACTTATGATGCAAGCCTCACTGAAAATCAAGAATCGTTTGTACGAATTATTCGAGCGTTTTATCTCTGAGGCTCTCCGAATCCAAATTGCTGCTGGTTTTGTGCCTGCTGTTGAGTACCGGACACACTACACCGGATTCCATGGTGAGACATTGGAGACGTTGTCTGCTGCTGTCCATTTTGCTTTGGAGACATTCCTATAATTAAAATGCGTATTAATAGACCGGTATTATTGTATGCTGTTTGGCTGATCACCGGTTAAATTTATTTCAATATTAAAAATTATTATTTATTAATAAAATATTTATTTTATTTTATTTAATAAGATCAAGGTCTAGTTTAATTAATAGATAATACATACCCGAGGGCGTTTTGTCACCTGCAGACATTTTTTGAAAAGCCAACAATGTGTCTGGAAAATTTGGAGGTGTTGCAGGTGTATTACAAGGCGTTATCTGTAATGTTTGATATTAAATTATTAATAGGTTTATCTAATGATAATAGTTGTAATAATAGTGATAATATGAATCATAAAAAATTTTTTTTTATTAATTTTAGAGGTTTTAAAATCGTGGAAAATTTTTTTTGTTAATTTTAGTTTTTATAATTATGGAAAATATTTTTTTTTATCAATTTTTAAGTTTTTAAAATTGTGGAAGGTTTATTATTAATAAATTCTAGTATTTAAAATTAAAAAAAAATTTTTTTTATTAATTTTAGAGCTTTTAAAATTATAAAAAAATTTTTTTAAGAACAAAACAAATTTTTTTTTATTAAAAATTTAGAATAAAAAAAAAAATAATGCTAATGAATAATAATAGTCTAGTGAAATAAATTTACTTAGTTGTCTGTTTGGTAAAAGTAGTGTGGATTTGGCACGAGGCTTATCGGAATGTTACAGCCGAGAATAGTAACCTAGTGTAGTGACGATTTTTACTCATCATCCAGTGACTCTCAAATTTAATTACAAAAATCTATATATCTATCAATTCAATATCAGTCCCTATATCTCATTCATTGAATCAAGATACTAATACTTATTTTCAACATCACTACTCGCTGTTACTTGTTTATTATTTACCCGTTTATCAAAAGATAAGCGCAAACGGGTCTAAGATAATATCTAGCTGATAGACAATTAATACAAGTTATTTAAATGCAAATAGAAAGTTACTATCATACACGATAGAGTTGTTTATACTATCGATACTAAATTAATAATATAATATAGTATAAATAATATTAAAAATATTATTATTTGTACATACGATACACACCTGACCTAAATGCGCTCCACGTCCTTGTGGGCAGGATGGTATTGCCGCTTCTTGGAAGAATATACTAAGCGCAGTCTGAAACAATAAAAAGACGATTTATAAATAAATTATTTATTTAATCTTGAAACAGGTGGTTATTACTAAGTACAAGAAGGTTGTGCTTGTTCGAATAATCAGTGACCTTTAGAGGCTAAAATTATTATTGGAAAGTGTCGTATGCACTAATCGTTATCGACCATCTCTCTAAATAGAATCTATCTATATAAAATTATATTAGTATTACCTTTTATTTTTAAATATAATTTAAAATTTTTTTTTGAAACATTTTGTTTATATTATTATAATTATAGAATTTTGTTAAGTGCCAAAATAATACACTCATCGAGACCTTTCATTTGAGTACCCACATCAATGTTTCACATATATTCATATATATATTATATATATGTATATATGAAAAATATATCAAAAATGCATGTGGGTACTCAAATGAAAGCTCTTGATCAGTATAACATCGGGATGAGCTTATATCTTTAAAAACATCGATAGCTAACAAAATGCAACAGTTGTTACTTAATTCTTAACATTTTCGTAAATATAAGTCCATTTTGATGTTACACTCATTGAGACCTTTCATTTGAGTACCCACTTGCATTTTTGATATATTTGTCATATATACATATATATATATAAATATATGAAATATATGAAAAATGCATGTGGGTACTCAAATGAAAGCTCTTAATGAGTGTAACATCAGGATGAGCTTATATCTTTAAAATCGTCAATAATTAAAAAAGTACAGTGCAATTTAACAAAGCAAAATTTTGTTTATTTATATTTCATATTAATTATTATTATTACGAATTTAATTTTGTCTTTTAATAATAATAATAAAATTGAATTGTTTTCTGGTTATTAATTAGCCTGAAATAATAAATAAATATGATAAAAAATCTATCTAAAACTTATCGTTGGCATGGTTACATCGGAAAACATAATAATAAAGATTATTAATAACAGCTGCGACAATAATAAATTACAAAAACAAAAAAAAATCTCAAGAGGTAATCTCTCACTTGTTGATACGTCATTCGTATGCTATTAAATTTAATTGTTATCATTTCTTCACAGATACTACATTATAATAATAAAAATAAAAATGTAAAATCTGATAGGCGAGGTAAAATATGACATGTGTCAATAATTCTGTTAGACACGTACAGTTGTATCTAATCTGAGCGTGAATTATTGACTCTCGGTTACCAGCAATGCTTGTGTAGTGCTTACACACGAAAGGAAAAGTTTCGCTACTATGCTTGATAAACTGCTACTATGTCTATGTCTACTTTGTACGTAGCAATAGCAATAGACAGGAAACATTTTGTCAGGATTGGTTGTTCAGTCTCTAGTTAAACGACTTTCGCATTCGCTGCATGTACTTGCTGCTGTACTGCCGCCAATAATCTCTTTGTATAAATAATCCCATATCAGTGATAGCCGAGAATTATCATAACCGGTGGTATTTCAGCTTCCTTTCCTATAATTATTTTAAATTTATATTATATTTTAATTTTAATTTATTTCATTTAATAATCGTTTACTTTACTTTACTAGGCAAGTCCTGAGGCAGATTTCAACGCTCACCTCAAATAACCAATTTATATTTATCTTTAGTAGTTATCTTGTAATTACACAGAGTTTAAAAATATTTATTTCAACAAAAAAATTCAATTTTTTAAATTTATTTGTTTCAATGTAAATACTCTTTTAATTACACTGATTGTAAGTTAAAAAAAATATTCTTTGTATTAAAATTTATTGTGTTTATTTTTATCTTTATTGTCAAAAAAAAAATTATTATTTTCATTAAGTAGTTTTAAATAATTTTTTATACGGAGAATATTTTTTTAATTAATAAATAATTAAATGCTGAATATACAAAACATTATTTGTACTTTTATAAATAATTTATATAATGTTAAAATGCGCGTTTTAATTTTTTATGATGCAACTTTTTTCCTTATTTAATTTATGTAAAAAAAATATTTTAAATTCAATATTTTTTTCTAATATTAACAATAAATAATTTTTTTTCAAATAAAAATATAAAATAGTAAAAAAATCATCTTCAAAATAAATAATTTATAATGTTAAAACACAAATGGGCGTTTTAATTTTTTTCCTTATTCAATTTATGAAAAAAACTACTTAAAATTTAATAAATTTTTCTAACCATATTAAATATTAACAAAAATAATTTTTTTTAACTAAGTAAAAATGTAAAATAGTTTTTTAGTCAATAAAAAAAAAATCTCTCTTAAAATAAATATTAAATAATTCATTTATAATATTAAAACACAAATGCGCGTTTAAATTTTTTTCCTTATTTAAATTTATGACAAAGAAAAATATTTAAAAATCCAATAAATTTTTCTAACCAGATTAAATTATTAAATATTAATAATAAATGCGCGTTAATTTTTTATGATGTAATTTTTTTCCTTATTTAAATTTATGACAAAAAATACTTAAAAAATCCAATAAATTTTTCTAACTATATTAAATATTAACAAAAATAATTTTTTTAAAGTAAAAATATAAAATAGTCAGTCAATAAAAAAAAAAAAAAAAAAAAAAAAAAAAAAAATCATCCTCAAAATAAATACTAAATAATTCATAATAGTAAACAAGAAGACGAATAAAAATAAAAATAATGTATTGCTCAATAGCCGATTGGCACAAAGCAACATTCGGTCACGGGTTACATAAGTTTATCAACACAATCATCAGATCAGGATGTGATGATTATTTTAAAAACATTTGTCAATTTACTAATCATTAATATAAATTACAGCGGACTGAATTAAAGTCCGACTTATTGACCATCACAATCAATAAATTCTTTTAAATAAAATTACCATCATATCTAAAAAAAAAAACTAAATGAACCCGGATAGGACGGATAGGATGTAATAGTAAGTCGGCCATTTTACAACGGCTTTGTTTACGTGTATGTTGGATGGTAATATTGTAAGGTGCCGCTGGTGAATGCTGATGAATGGAATCTACGCTAAAGCACTACACTGAATTCACTTGTAGACCTGCGGTATTTAAAATTTAAAAATAAAAGAATAGGATAAATGAAAATTTATAAAAACTCACCTCAAATTGCCAATGAGCCGCCTGGAGCAATTGTTTGGCTTGTTCTCTGGCACATCCAGCGGCCAGGACAAATTGATTTATCATAACTTGCTCCCTTAGATGGGTATCCATTGTTGTTGTTGTTGTTGTTGTTGTTGTTGTTGATGATTATTATTATTATTATACCGCGGATAATTATCTATGTATAGTTAAATAGTTTATTTTTCGGAGAATTGACTCGGAATAAAACAACACCGCAACAGACTGGTTCTGCTACGGGAAATCATGTACACATCAATGGACGAGACCGACACAGTTCACTTACACGCTTACACACAAAGAGTATCTCACGTCTCACGCTCGTGGATATATCGAGGACCGAGGGTGATGGTACAACACACAACACACAACACAACTCACAGTATCACCAAGCACCAGCACTAGTAAGTAATATAAGTGTGATTGGTTTAATGTAATGCCAACCAACCAATACCGCCAGACTCTGACAGAGACAGAGAGTCAATATAAACTTTTAATTCCTTTATTTATTTTTGTTTTTGTCTGAGCCACCGCTGCTTCTTCTTGTTCCCCGGGATACTAAAAATTATTTTTTTTAAATTAATAATTGTTATTAAGTTATTTTATATTTATGTAATTATAAGTATTAGTTTTTAGAGGCTCACTCTCACTCTAGTCAATTCTTGTTTTCAAAACTCAACTCATCGGAAGACAAACTCGGATGAACTTGTAGAGGGGAATTGAACGAAATTACAATGACGTCACTCCGCTCTGCTCTGTGTACTTTACTGAGAACACGCGTGGAACGTACACATTCCCTTGTGTTTGGAACAGTTCTGTCCGACGGACTCACTCCCTTCACTTTCAGTGTTATTTACTTTTTATGTTTATGGCGGGTACCTGTTAACACATAAAAAAAAAAATAAAATATGAAAATTAATTTAAAAAATTTTTTTAACAAATAATTAAAAAAAAAAACTACACTAAAATTAGTCGACATTTTTTTTTATTTTTTATTTATTAAATTATAATTAAATATTTAAAAAAAAAATGCAATTATAGTTTTTCATAAATGAAATTTTTTTGTAATAATTTTTTCAATAAAAAAAAATTCTTAAATTTTTTTTAGATCTCGGCTAACTTTATTATTATTATAAAAAAAAAAAATGTTAATTTTTAAAAATTAAAAATGCAATTTGAAAAAATAATTTATTTGCGTTAAAAAAAATGAAAAAATTTTCATTACTAATTTTAATGTCACAAAATAATTACTACTTATTTTGAATAGCATTAAATGTTTATATATTTTAATTATTTACTTACCCGATAGTCAATTGTTTTTTTTTACGCAAAACAAAAGACAAACTAATTTTGTAAATATTGTTGATAATTATAATAATTTAAATTTAATGTGGAAAAATATTTGGCCATCTGGCGGGATTTAAAGTGACAGATAGCGCCACTTCCCGGTTAAATTTGAAAAGTTCTAAGCGCGCGACAAAGATGGCGCTGGGGCTGCCTGGCGGAATTATTCAAAAGCGGTTAGAATTACTATTTAGTTACGCAAGAGTTGTTTGAGCGGTTTTATGTACTTTAATTAGATATAAATATTCGTATGTATATTTATTGATATTAAAACTTACGCAATTTATGGATTTCAACACTAGCATGGAAAATATTTAGATGAAAGTGACAAGTACGAAAAATATAATCGGTTATCTATTACTTTTTACACAATTTCTATTTCTAATGCAGTTTACTTGTAATAAGTAAAACCTTTCTAAAAATAATTGGCTAAATAAATATTTCATTATCGTTTTTGTAACTATTTTCAGCAAAAAAAAAAACTTCATTTTGTTCAACAAACTATTTATATTTAACGGGCTTTCAGTTATGATTTATTGCCACTTGCATTTTCCGCTATTTAAATTCTTTTACTTTATTTTATTCAATTATCAATGAGTCAGATTTTTATTATAAAAAAACTGCCTCGAGCTCTAGATTACTGTTACGAGGTGACATCTTTTTAATCTAATAACAGTTATTAATATTTATTAAAGCCAATCCATCAATATAAATTACTAGACATAATTCTCAATCAGCTGTTAGCAAATCCGCCGCCATTAAAATTTTTTTTTCACTTCAACATTACTTTATCAAATTAAATTAAAAATCCAATTAATAAAACCTCCAAATAATTTAATTTAAAATTAAGCTTATTGCAAAATCCTAAAAAAATTTTCTTCTTTTAGATTGACACTTTAATTAATTTAAAAAATTACCATAAAAGTGATGAAGAAATTTCTATTCCATAACCAATGGGTTAAAACTAGAGAGCAGTATTTAACAATATCCTTAATTACCTCCAATTAGTCACTATCTCCGCGTATGAGATATAATAAATAAATGAATAACTAATGACTAATTACAGGCGATAACTTTCTTCGTTAAGGCTGATAAATCACCGACGACACTTGTGTGAACAAATGTTATTGTATGTCTGATAATCTTGAAGAATATCACGTAACATTTCCCTGTGAGGTAACACAATAACCATCAGCAAGTTGCTGGGTAACCTATAATAGAATATGGTTATATCGCCAGACAGCACTTTACTACTTACTTGGAAGGAAGAAACGCAACAATGATTGCAGTATTATTTATCATTATTCATTATATGATTATCAGGTGTTGGAACGCTAGCGGATGCAATTATGATGTCTGTATAAAATTCAACCATCCATTTATTTTATTTTCAAGTGTTATTCTTCACATCATCAGGTTTTTTTTTTTTATTTTTATTTATATTAAATTTTGATCCTCCCTAAGGACCATCATAATTAAGAACAATAAGTAATAATGATAAAAATTGTTATTGTCATTGATTCTTCACAACATTGCTTTGCAAATTCTTAAAAAATTTAGGCAGAAGCTATAAAAATTTTTTATTAATTAAATGATTAGCGCACAATACTTTCTAGACTTGAAAAAATGTCCATTTGTCGAGCAACAGATATGGGAATCAAAATAGCCGGAGGGGTCGCTGCTCACTTATTTCGACATCGGCATCCTTGGATTAGAATCTGGAGCGAGTATTCGCCTAATCATTGCACTTATTGCATTCTTCTTTCATTTTACAAGTTTTTCTCCTGATAGCTATTAAACCAAACAAGCAACAGCTAATCCCAAACAAAGTTATTAATTTTAATAACCAAATTCAAAATTTACTTTTTTTATAGAAGCAACTAAGCGTAGCCGGAATTCTCGGTTATTGTTCAGCCGTAGAAGGGTTTTCCATCGGCAGAAATCGGCAAGTTGCCCATACTGCATTCTTTTGTCTAACATAATCCATTAGACCTCCAAAGTACAGTACAGCACAGCCGTAATAACTGACGCGTTACAAAATAATGGGAATCGTTAAACTTTCCAGGTTTTTCGCAACTAAAACAACGACTGCGCGCATTAATATCCAGCTTGGATTATTGTATTACAATAAAACACTCAAGATGATGTTAATAAGCAAGGGGTGTTTTATTTGATTTATAAGCTGTTGCGTAAAACTATAAATTGATTAAACTAGTTTGATAAAATATGTTGGTATAAAAAACTGGATAATAGTCCTTACAATGTAATAATTGTTAAAATTATAAGGAGGTATCAAATGAATTCTAAAAGGATATTTGGCAATTGCGGATTTATATTCTATTAGAACAATGAAAACTTGTGAAATATAATTATTAAAAATATGGTGGAAATATGATGCTGAGATAATTGTAATTATTTATGTTTTAGAAAGTTTTTATATGTTTAATTAAATAATAATAATGATCAAAAATTGTTATTATAACAATAAATAAAAAATGAAGCTAATGAAAAGGAAATGAAAAATATGGTATAGAAGTTATGCACCGATGACGAAGAAAATGGGCGAGTCAATCTCTGCAAACACGTAATAACCTAGTCTAGTTGCACGCCTTTTTTTTTTTAAACCATAAAACTCCCGAAATGGCGATAATCGAGTTAAGAGTTGTCGAGATACCAACTAAAAAAAAAATCTTAACCGGCCTTATACTATAAAGTGAATCCATGCCAAGGTACAGGCATCTCCGCTAATGATCGACCTTGCTCTAGGATTTATCTAATGATGACCAAGTTCTAGGGGACGTTGATCGGCAAATTAACCAGTAGATCTAAAAGTTGCGTAATTTTTCCTTTTATATTATTAAATAAAATCTAGACTAAGTAAATCAGCATAAGCATAAGCATAAGTTGCGTGTAAAAACGTTATTTAAATGAGAAATTTTCATTGCAGGAAGTGCTTATGTGTGTGTGTATAGATGTGTAAGTAGACTTGGTAAAGTAGAGTGTTGGTCTATTTGCATGATACCAGTTGTGTGGGCCGGCGTTTTTTGCCAGGGTTGCTAATTAAAAATAATTATTGATACACTTGAGTGGTACCCAAGCAGAAGGGAAGCTATCGTATCGGTGGAAGATAGAAGCAGGCGAATGGTGAAAGGAACCTCCCCTGGTTAGAGACGTTAGATTGTCCAAGTACAACCGATCCCCGCCCGAGTGCCAATCTTGGTTCTGGCTGGGCAGGGCCTCACTATAAAAGCTGACGACGCTAACCCTAAGTCAGGTAGTTCTACCCGTCTTGTCACAAGATACACTAACTATTCCAATATGAAAGTCTTGGTAAGTTAGTTAGTTGTAGAATATATTAATTACATTACAGTAATTAATTCTACAGCCAATTTGCTAATTTTGTATTAATATTAACACTGGCTTGAATATTATCTTTCAGATTGTTTTGTTCGCCGTTGTGGCCGCCGTCGCTGCTTACCCAGGTGGCTGGGAGGTAATTATCATTTTTTTAATTAATCCATATATTCGTTCTCAAAAATACTTTCAAAAATCTGTTTAACAATTACTACTCTTTTCAAAATGAATGAACTCTTTCTGCATCTATGCATGGTCATATAATGTCATGTGTCTATAAAATGTGTTAATCATCTCGGTCAATCAAAAAGTAACCAATTTATCCATCCAATAATAATTAATCACGCATCTGATCATCACATGGAACCATATTGAGGACATCAGCAAGTACCACCACCTGGCATTTCTCATCTGATATAAAACCAGAGATTTTAGTGCTATTGTTGATTTAAATAGGATCCATGGAGCTACGGCTACCACTCTCATCCGGTAGTCCACCAGCCTCATTACAGCTACCACCAGCCACACTACGGTTACCACCAACCTCACTACGCCTACCAACACGGCTATCACGACCACGGTTACAAGGTAATCTCAGTCCACTAATAAACCGGTCGGATAATTCGACCAAGTGGAGCAAAGTCGTAAAACAAATAGACGATGGATAATCATGTCATAAAATGATAATTTTCTAACTGGAGGACTTTCACCGAGTTTATCTAACCATTTTATAGATACCATGGCGTTAATTAATGCCTGTCATTAGTTAGCATATCATTTAATCAAGAACAACTTTCGTAAGCTATCAAGCATAAATTAATAAAATTTTATTAACTTATTTTGCAGCACCACGCTCACCATGTTGACGCCATCCACGTTCCCCAACCCCACCCAATCCCACCACTCCACCCTGAACCACTCAAGTTGAAGGTTCATCCCCATGTCACCAGAATCCACTACGACCACCCCAAGGTCCACCACCCACATCTCATTGGCCACGAAGTCCAACACCACGAACCCGAAATCAAATTCGTCAAACACGAAGTCCACCACGAACACCACGGACACGGATGGGCTTAAGCTGATCCCAGCCACGTTACCGAGCGATCACCATCTGGTTCGACGGACAGTCCAGTCACAGCATCCCATCTTCATCAATAAATACTCAAATCTCATCGTCACAGTGATACCAAAGCCGCATTGTAATTAAGACAGTACTGCCAGCCTTAGTCGATCTTCAGTCGTCTAACTATGGCTAGTCAACGTCATCTGGCTGCACCCTGCACCTCTTTTGATAAAATAGCGGCGTAAATATTTATTAATTATTGGATTACTCGAAAATCTTATTAAACTGTGATATGGACTACTCGAAGAACCAGGACCAAGGCTACTTAACGTATAAAACGTATAAATAAAGTCCCCCTGCATCTTATTTAAAATTTAAAATTGTGCGGCATGTGATATCAAAATGGATATAACTTCACCGTTATTTTATGTTACATTATATATATTTCTATCCTGTCAATACTTCTGTAAAACCAACATTTCATTCAGGACTTTGAATCTATTTATTTTTTAATAAATGCTCATTTATATGTCTTGTGATAAATAATGTCTTATTATTCCTCATATCAACCCTTCTTCTTTCTCATTCATTTTAATTAAAATCTGTTCAATAGAACAATTAATAATTTTTATAACAAGTGTGTGCTCTGTTCAAAAATACTGATTAAAAATAATTAAAAAACATGAAATTCAATAACTTCAATTCTTTTCGTTTGTATATATAGATATACAGTTTGCATATAGAGTGACTACTATTCAGTTCTTTTTAATATAATGGCTTCCCGCCTTTTTTTTATTAATCCGCAAAAATTACCCACGCCAAATTTTCTCATACAACAATTCTTAACTAGAATTGCCTTGTTTAAAAATATTGATTGAAAAGAATTAAAAATGTTGAAATTCGAATTCTTTTTAATAATTTCAATTCTTTTATTTGTATATATAGACCACTTCTTAATTCCTAAGAATTTAAATCAGTATTTTTGACCAGGATTAGTAACGCGTTGTTTAGTACGGCTGCCTAATTTTAAAATACAGTAACTGCAAAATTTTTATACCTAATTTTTTTTTTTAATATTGCTGCATTTTTTTATAACTTATAGACTTTAATTTTAATTATTTTTTCTTAAAAATATGTATATTTAATTATTTTCTATACATAAATCAAATTTTTCATCAATTTGGCAGGCAAACTTTTTTTTAATAAGAAAAATTAAAAAAGATTTTATAAATATTAGTTACTGTGTTTTAAAATTGGGCAGTCAAGTAGTTTAATTGCCATTAGGTTGGGATGAATTTAAATTTGGTGTTCATCCCTAATTAAGAAATTTAATTTGAAATAATTTAAAAGCATCTGATTTAAATACATTTTAATATCTCTAATTCCGAATCAGAAATACTAAGTGCTTAGCTTTAAATTGTAATCTCCGGTTTGACAGTAGGTATACCTAGCTCCCTGAAGATTATAGCGTTGGAGACAAATCAAGGTATTGACTATATTTCTAATGACTTTGTTTTTTGGAATCTTTTAAATATTTAGAATTGACATATCAACCCTAAAATACAACTAATATTTCCATCAAATTAAAATGTCAATATGACAAAAATAACTAGCATAATTATGATTAAATATTAAGAAGAAATAAATATATCCATCATATTATATAATATATGATATGACAAACGATAAATAATACAAACGCTTACATGCAGCTAATAGATAACTCGCAGCAAACAATCAATCGCGTGTCGTCAGGGAAACCGACTGTCCAAACAGTAGCATCGCACGGGATATTAACCTCATCATTCTTTCTCGCCGAGTATAATCGCGATCTTCACGTGGAAGCGTAAGCGTTATTCCTGACCCCCGTTAAAAAAAAAAACATGTCAGTCTTCCATTAGTATATAAAAATATAATATTTTAGACTTTTGTAACAAAGGACAAAAAATCAATTGCGTATTATATACCTTTCACACTGTTGTTTTTTACGTTCTTGTTATTATTGTAAATATTTAAAAACCAAGCCAATGACATGCGTATATACACACTGCAATTAAGGGCATTCTTAGGCCTCTTACTTTGTTATTATTATTATAAATGTTAACTGTTTAAAATAATTAGAGGTCTAGTTAAATTAAAACTAGGTTAAACTTGGTGGAAAAAAACTTTGCTTACCGCTTTTGGCTCACAGAGGCGCTGAGCTCGAATTTTTAGCGCCAAATAAATATTTAAAATTTTTGTTTTCTTTTTTCAGCACCAGGGGCGCTGAAACGCAAGTTTAAATTTTGAGCTGCGCTACAGCTGTTCTCTTTTTTTTTTAAACTGTCATTTTAAATTTATAATTAATTATTTAATAATTAATTTTTAATTTTTCAGAAGCTGTCCCACGCAAAAACAAATTGGAAAGTCATTTGCAAAACAACTTTACAAGAAAAGAAAAAAAAAAAGATGACATGCTATAATCTACAATCGACTCTACTCGTACCAGGTAGTATCTTGATAAGCTGGATTTATAAATACATAACTATAACTGTAAGTATATATAACTATAAATACATGAAAAGTTCAACGTTATTTCTTCTTTCCATGTAATCCATAATATTTTATGTTTTTTGCAGTTAAATAACTACAAACTAAAGATTTCGCAATAATTTGACGGCTCGAAATCATTAATTCGTAATTGTATTAACTTTTATGCCGCTGACTTTCTCCTGGTAGCTCATACAGTTATTACTTCTCATTCTACTCAAGAAGTTTAAGTAAGCGATGGTTACTTTGTTATTACTTTAATTACAATTGATATTTATTATTTACGTAACCTATATTCCATCAATAGTATGTTTTCTAAAAATAAATAAATAGATAACAGAAATCTTAAATAAAAAACAAGTAACGGCACTTATTTACAAGAAGCTGTTGATTAAGCATGGAACTGGAAAGTGGCTGGAAGCTAGTTATCCCATGTAAAAGAGCATCGGAACCGGTGGAAATCGCGTCCACTCGGACACTCTGTTGTCCTACACGCGGTTATTCTTATGTGTCGTCAGTTCGATCCGGTCAGTGGGACAATAAGCATGAACAAGCCGCGTAAGTTAATTCTTTTTTATTCATATACTTATGTTAAATGTCGTAGCTTTTAAATGGAAATTAATTTACCAGATATTTGATAATTCTAAAAATTTTTTTAATAAATAAATAAATTATAGCAAAAAAAATTGACATGTAGAACTTTTAAAAAATGCAATTTTTTAAAAATAATTTTTTTGAAAAAAAAAATTAAAAAAAGGTCAAGTGACTTTTAAAATTAAGTTAGCCAACATCTAGAAATTTTTAGAATTTTTTCTCTTGAAAAAATTATTATAAAAAAATTATTTTGCAAAAAAACTGCAAGTGCAATTTTTAAAAAATATTTTTTAGTTTTTATTTAATAATTAAAAAAAAAAAAATAAAAAACGTCGGCTAACTTTAATGTAGCTTTTAAAAACTTTTTATTAATATTTATTTCTTGATTTTTTCACAATAATTAATTTCTTCTTCTGTAACTTTGTTACAGATGATGAACCCGTGGTATTTAGTGTCGAGAGCACAACAAATTTAGTTCCTGTTAAATCACGGGACTCTTAGTAAGTATGCTCTTGATCGATTTGATTTATTAATAAAATATGAGAGCCTAAGTACACCTGACTTTCATTACTCTTTAATTTAGTTTCAGAAGAAAGAAAACAAGTAACAGGTCTGGATTTATACTGTTTGCTCTTTCATTGCTGGTAATTGGTTTGCTGGCGGGTCTGCTGGCAATTGGAGTTCTTTGTAAGTAATCAATCTAATATATTTCAAATCCAACATTATCGTTGTCTATTATTGTCATAATCGATCTACTAACGGGAATAATTTATCGATTATTTGACAGATTTGCATGTCAAGCGCAGCCTTACGTTATGTGATTCCGAAGAATGTATTCGCACTGGTAATAATATCACTCTACTTACTCTACTTATTCTGTCTAAGTATATTTATATTGACATGACATAATTTGTTTTCTATTTACAATAGCGGCCAGTTTTAAAGAATCTATGGACACTACTATAGACCCATGCGAGGATTTCTATCAGTGAGTACAACTAAATGATTTATTAATGGATTCAAATTGTTGGATATAAGTATTCGTAATGAGAGTCTTCAATTATGCGAATAGTTTCAAGGTGCCCGCATAAACTTGACTGTAAATAATGAAATTTTTATTTTAAAGGTATACTTGTGGGAGGTGGTCGGAAAATCATCCTACTTCTCAACCAGACAAGCTCAATTCTTGGTTCCACGAGAGAAGTCAGAAGATTAAATGGAAAATCAGAGACTTGTTGAGCAATAATTTTACCGGAAAAGTTCCCTGGGCTGTTAAACAAGCTAAAGTTTTGTATAATAGTTGCCTTGACAATGGTAAGATTTGATTAGTTTTTTTTTCTAAGGTTTATTATGATTTAATTAAAAATCTGAGCTCTTGCAGTTGCGCTGGACACTCTGGGGCTATCGCCGATGCTAAGTTTACTAGAAGACTTGGGTTTACCTCGGGTACCTCCTGCCATGGGCCACAAGTCTGAAGATTTTGTGAAAGTAGCGGCAAGAGCGAGAAGAATCCTGGGAGAAGAAATATTCATTGGGTTTGATGTGATTCCTGACCCGCTGAACGGCAGTAGGAAAATTATTTTGCTCGATGTACCAAGCTCGTCGAGTCCTTTGCCTCTGTATGATCTTCTTATACACTTTTGCAAATCTCTGTTTAAAAATATTCATTAAAAAAAATTTGTTTCGGTATATTTTTATAGATATAATTTGCTATAGAGCGAATTATTTTAATTTTTTCAATGAATATTTTTAAAGAAGGAAAGTTAGGTTTTATTGTTTCAATATAATTTTAATTTTACAGAAATGAGGTTATAAAAAACCGACTGAAGAGTGTGAATGCAGACAAAGCTAAGCGAAGTGAAGACTCTGGTTCGGCAGAACAAAGAAGTTCTAATGAGAAGAGTTACGCGATAGCTGTCATCAAGGAGTTGATGGCCAACGGCACCCAAGATTCTTGTGATGAAGATAAAATTTCTGAGGAAGTGGATATAGTTGTTAAGGATGTTGTTGATTCTATTTTTGAGTTAGATGATTTATTGAGAGTTGTAAGTATTAAGATTTATTAAGAAGAAATTAATTTTAGTTAATTAGTTTAAGATCCAATCCTAGAAGTTAGTTTTATTTATAATTTTATATTAACAATTTTATTGAATTTTTTAGATGTATGGAGTGGAAGATAATAGTACATTATCTGAAGAAGATATTAAAGATGAAAATTATATGTGGGTTGATGATCTTCAAGTTATAACAGATGAATTTATAAAATCAGAGAATAAATCTTTGGAGCCTAAGAAGATATGGCGAGTGTATTTGGAAGAATTGTTCAAGGATATTGATGATTTGGACCTGGATAATAAGGACAAAATTCTTGTAGTCAATGTTGATTACTTCAAAGAGTTGGCGTTTTTGCTGAGCTCCGTTGAAGAAGAAATGATAGGTAAAATTTTTTACTAGATAGATAATTAAGAAATGACCTTGTATCTTGTGAAATATTGACATTTTTAAAGATATAAGCTCATCCAATTCGATGTTACACTCATCGAGGCCTTTCATTTGAGTACCCACATCAATTTTTCATATATTTCATATATTATATATATATATATGTATATATATATATATAAAATAATATAAAAATGACATGTGGGTACTCAAACGAAAGGTCTCGATGAGTGTAACATCAAAATGAGTTTATAACTTAAAAAATGTCAATAATCAAGAAATGACCTTGTATTTCGTAAATTATTCACATTTTTTAAGATATAAGCTCATCTCGGCGTTACACTCATCAAGACCTTTCATTTGAGTACCCACATCAATTTTTCATATATTTTATATATTTGTATATATTATATATATGAATATATGAAAAATATATCAAAAGTGCATGTGGGTACTCAAATGAAAGCTCTTGATGAGTGTAACATTAGGATGAGCTTATATCTTTAAAAATGTCAATTTAATAAATAAAAAAAATTAATATTTTGTAGAGACAATCGTGTGGTGGATCGTCGTGGACCTAGTAGTGCCTTATTCTTCAAGGAACCTCAGGAACATTTGGTACGATTACATCGACAAGCTGTTAGACGTCGAAGTGTCCTACGACCCGCCATCCTTGCACTGCGCGGGAGTAGTCAATGACATGATGGGCATGGCAGTGTCATGGCTGTTTGTCGATCGAGGATTCCACAACATAACTGCTCCGAATGTGATCGAAATGCTGGAGCACATCAGAGCTGCCTTCCGTGATATCGTTATGAGATCTCGCTGGATTGACAATAAAACTCGTCTCGGAATCTTGGAAAAGTCCAATAGAATGGCTTACGTAATCGGGTACCCCGAGTGGCTCTTTCGGGAGCACGATCTCAATAAATACTACGAGGGGGTAAGATTAATTGCGCAAGATTTATTTAAACTTTTTTAGTTTCGAAACACTGGAATAATAATTAATCACGTAATAATTTTGTTTTTATATTTTAGATAGAGCTGAAGAAAGAACAGTATTTGAAAAATATCTTGTCCATCACCCACGTGATGACTGACACGGAGTTGAAGTCTCTTCATGTGAAGAATCACACCCACGAGCATCTGTGAGTGTCTCAGTATATAAATAAAGAAAGTACTCGAGTATAATAATAATAATAATAATAATAATAATAATAAAAATTTTTTAGATGGGATTTGGATCCAACTGATGTTAATGCAGTGTATACATTCATGACCAATCATATAAGTATGTTTAATTTATTTTTATTAATTATAATTGGAGTTAAAATATGATACTGAAATTTAGAGACATTTGATAAGCTTAAAAAATTTTTTTAAGAAATAAATCACAAGAAAAATTAATTTAAAAAAATTTTTATAGTTAGAAGCTTTAAAAAATTATAAATGCAATGTTTAAAAAATAGTTTTTTAAATAAAATTAAAAAAAAATTATTAAGTGTCTGTAAATTTTATTTTCATGTTAAAATTTATTTTATTGAATTAAAAAATTATTATTTTACGGACGCAGCTCTACCTGCGGCTATTTTACAATTTCCTTTCTACAAACTCGGCTTGGAGTAAGCAAAAAAGCAAAATAAAAAATAAATTTTATTAATTCATTGATTTTATTTTTAGAGCGCTGAATTACGGAGCCATAGGAGCGATTTTGGGGCATGAGCTGACCCACGGTTTTGATAACGATGGGAGACATTATGACAGTCAAGGAAATTTGAGGCAGTGGTGGAGCAATGAGACTGTTATTGAATACTCTAGCAAGACATATTGTTTTGTTAAACATTACGAAGGATACTACGAGAAAGATGTAATTAATTTATTAAGTTTTTACTCTATCTCTAGACACATAAATTAATAAATGACCTTGTATCTTGTGAAATATTGACATTTTTTAAGATATAAGCTCATCCTGATGTTACACTCGTCAAGACCTTTCATTTGAGTACCCACATCAATTTTTCATATATTTTATATATTATATATATGTATATATGAAAAATATATCAAAAATGCATGTGGGTACTCAAATGAAAGCTCTTAGTGAGTGTAACATCGGGATGAGCTTATATCTTTAAAAAATGTCAATAGTTAAGAAAGTACAGTGGAATTTATCAAAAGCCATTATATAATTAGCAAAATTTTATTTATTATAGTTCGTAATTCTCGGCAGTCACATAGTGACTGCAGGTTGACTAGTTTTTTTTTTAAAGAAAAATATAAAATTTTCAGATGTCAGGTAATTAAATTTTTAAATGAAAAATAATAAATCCATACTATTTTTCCAGATCGACCAATACGTCGATGGAGAGCTAACTCTGAACGAGAACATCGCAGACAACGGAGGTCTCCACGAGGCAGTGCTAGCTTACAGAAGGTGGAAGGCGCATCACGGACAAGAGCCTTACTTACCCGGTTTTACGTATTTGTCCCACGAGCAATTGCTATTCCTCGGATTTGCTCACGTAAGTAACTTAAATTTATTGTATATATACATTAATTGCGTTGGCTAATTAATATTCTTTGGACTAGTCCATCCGAAAGTCAAGGATAGTCGATAAAATATTTAATTTTTGTAAAAAACAGCTATGGTGTGAGGATTACTCTCCAAAGTCCTTGAAATGGATGCTAAGAGACTCACATTCTCCGGGCCACGTAAGACTCAAAGCCGTATTGACAAATTCCAAAGAGTTTAGCGATGCTTGGAAGTGTCCCGTCGGTTCGCCAATGAATCCGCTTGAGAAATGTCGGGTATGGTGACCAATTAAATGTCACCGTTTTGTCCGTGTAAGTTTATTTTTTTATAGGACTAATTTGTCGATATCTAAATTTAAATCTAAATCAACAATTCAAAGACAAATATTTACATTTTATCGTTATTATTATTGTAATTACATAATTATCAATAATAATAATAATAATAATAATTTTATTTACGTAAAAAATTAATACAATATATTATTGTTAAAATAACATTTTCTTCACGGTATCGTACACTAACTTAAGCTTAATTTAAATTAAGCGTCAATTATCGTAAACATAAGTCTATTAATTTGGATTATTTAAGTTTTGTTTTATCAAAAACAATATCCAAGATTTTAGTATACGTAGCCTCCGTTGTCGTCGACCGGTTGAGTCGGCTCACTCTCTTTTTCGCTGGCAGCTTCTGGCTGCTGGCTCACGAATCCAGATACGTTGTCGATAGCGTCTTGGAAGATTTGTGATGGGTCAAATTGGGGAAAATCGTTCGATGAGAACTGGGGAAAACCACCTGGCAAACCACCTGGCAATCCAAAGTTTTGAAATTCCATAAATCCTGAAGAAAACGGTTGTGGGACTCCTTGTAGCATGAATTGTTGCAACGGAGCTCGAAGGAAAGTGATTTGAGAAGCAGATTTAGAAGATGGCTTGTTGTTGTCCTCTTTTTCTTCGTCGTGGACCACGTATGAGGCGACTCCTTTTGGCTCTGAAAGTTAAAATATTTCAATTTAATTAATTATAATCATAATCATCAAAAAATATTTTTTTTTAGGTATCAAAATCAATTAAAAAATTACCTGGAGTCAAGTATTGGTTGGTGGATTGTGGGTGGTAGGTTTGGACCGGAGCTTTCTTCTCCTCAACCACTGGAGTCAAGTATGCGTTGTTTGGTCGAGTTGGTTGAGCTGGTTGAACTGGTGTTGGTTCTGGGTGGTAGTGGTAACCATTGTTGGTTGGTTGAGCGGGCTGTGCTGGTGGTTGGTAGCTTGGTACAGTAGTTGTAGGTTTCTTTTCAATTGGGTTCAAGTAAGTGTTGCCTGGCTTAGCGGCTGGTACTGGAGCTGGTTGAAAAGGTGTTGCGGGTGCTGGGTGGGAGTGGTAACCATTGTTGGTGTTGGTTGGTTGAGCTGGTCTTGGAACTGGTGTTGGAGCTGGTCTTGCAGCTGGTGTTGGAGCTGGAGCTGGTTGCGGGTAGTTGTAACCGTGGTTGTTGTAACCGTGGTTGTTGTTGGTGGGTAGAGCAACTGGTGTTGGAGCTGGTTGAGCAACTGGTGTTGGAGCTGGTTGAGGAGCTTGTGGTGGGTGATAGCCATTGTTGTTGTTGTTGTTGTTGTTGTTGTTGTTGGTGGATACTGGAGTGGGTTGATGAGCTGGCTGTACGGTTGGTTGAGTTGGTTGGTAGTGGTAACCATTGTTTCCGGACTGAGGGTGGCTCTGAACTGGACGAGATTGAGTGGGAGCCTTGGCAGGCTGAGATTGGTAGTTGATCTTAACCGGCTGTGATCGGAAAATCTGGACGGAGTAATCTTGAGGTTGAGGAGCGCGATTCTGGACGATTTCCACGGGTTTGTTCTGCACGGGAGTTCCGTAAGAGGTCACTGGGGCCTTGACTGGTTCTGGGGCTGCTCTTACTGAAGGAGGACCGTAGCTTTTTGCCGGGGTGTAGCGGATCTCCTGTTGCTGTTGTTCAACGTCGTGGTGGGGCCGTTGGTACTGTTGTTGGTATTGCTGTTGGTACTGCTGTTGCTGTTGTTGTTGGTGGTTATAATAAATAGAATATTGATAATCACCGTCGTTTTGTGGTTGAACTGGTATTCCGTAATTGGTGGAGGGAATTTCAGGTTTGAAGCTATTTACCTGAAAATTTTAGTTAATAATTATTAGCAAAAGTTTTTTTTTATTTTATTAATTATATTTATTTATTTATTTATTTATTTATTTATTTATTATATTGATTTATTATTTAAAAAAAAAAACTAACCTGAATAGTTGGAAGTTCAAATGTCGGAGCAGGCTCGACTGTGTTACCCGGTTGGTATCCAGGAGGTCCGTAACCCTGAGCAGGAGAGTTGACTGTACCAGCGTAGTTACCAACAGACTTGTCTACCTGGACATTGGTGTTATCATGGTGCTCATGATGATGATGATGGTGGTGGTAATCAGTGCCGTAGCGCGGGTCTCCGGGAAGAATATCTCTTCTTGGGCGATTCGCTGACGGCAAACTTACCGCCGACGCTACCAAGCAAGCCTAAAAGAAGAAATAAAATTAATTAATTAATTAATTACACTCCCGATAAAATAATATCACTTAAAACTTTTTGGTCACTTTATTACTGGTAAGTATTTAATTTTTTAAATTATAATTAAATTATTATCCTCACTCACCACCGAGAGTACGAGGAACTTCATGTTGCTTGTACGGAGTACCGTGAAGAGTTGAGTGTCGATGGAAGAAGATTTCGAGTTTTTATACATCGCTCGAGTCCCTCCCATAACATTTCGTAATTTTTGGAGATGGCATTGGTAGAACTAGATATTAAACAGCTTCTTTAATTCTTTTTAGCTCCCCTCTCCTAATTCTGACCACCAGAATTTATTTCGATAACTGCACTTAATTTTAATTAACTGTTATTCATAATCACGGATCCATCAAATTTGTCGAGCTTTGTCATTTCTTCGAACTGTCAGCGGGTAATATTAATATTCATTAATTATTTCTTTTTTTCATAAATTTATAATTCATTTTTTAGGCAAAAATTTTTACCGAATTTCTAACTCTTATTTTTTGCATATTTAAGGGCAATTTTAATCTAAAACAGCGGAAAAAAAAAAATTTAGTACTAAAGCTAAGCCGAAGGTGAAAGGGCGTGAAAGAACCAGTATACCGGACGCCTTGGAATAAATAATTCAATAAAGAATTAATGTCACAATTGAACTTTCTAAGGTATTCTTTATGTTAATTAATCTAAAAATCCGGGTATATCACAAAGGTCTTCACATTTATGAAAGATGTTTATTTACATAGAATCTAAAAAAAAAAAAAATATCTAAATACTTTCGATTTTATACTAAAAATTTATATACTCCGGAATTATTTATCGGTTTCCTAATTCTCAATCCATAAAATGTCTTTTGATGCCCATCGTCACTTACATTATCTCTTAGAAAAAAAAAATTAGTCTCTTAAAAAAAATTACCCAATAGTCCGGTGTACTATTCAGCGTTAGAATTATTATTATTATAAACAAGCTAATATAAATGACTCGGATGATTAATTGAAATTGCAAATAGATGTTAGACAGTGTCAAAAATGTTAAATTTGAAGATTGCTAAATCTCGTCTAAGAAACCGAATATTTACTTGTTAATTTATTTGCTACGGGTTTAACCATCGCAGTAAAATAGCTAACAATCAATTATTATTTATACACTGAATATTGAACGGTGTTGTTAATAAAAAATTATTTTATGATAAGTTAGGAGTGCTGTGCATTAATTTAAGTCACTCAAGTACTGGTTTATATTACTTCTCAGGATACAGAGCTATTATAATGTAACGTATTGATATTATAATAATAAGTAGAGACACATCAGACGAAATAATAAATTAAGGATTACACTGTCTCTCACGGTGACAATCAAGGATAAAATAACTAAATATGTACATATTGATGGTAATTTTTTCGATTATTGAATTACTCGTGAATTGACCTCGGGAAGAAATATAAAACGTCGCGAATACATTTTTAATAGCAATAAAAAACATACTGTCTATTATAAATATTTAAAAATAAATTAACCAATATTATGTATAATGTATGATGTATGTGTTCCATAAATGGATTTATTAGGTAACTGCTCATCTGTATCACTAATTAATTTTTAATTCAATTTGCAGATTATTTTATTTAACGCCGAACAAGAGGATGCTGCAATTTAATTATATTTAAGAATAAAAGACAGGATCTTTATTTTAGAGCTAAACGGTGAAGGTAAGAGCTCCTTTTTTTTTTTTTATTAATTAATTATTTGTAATCTTCTTCCGAATTATTTTTCATCGGCCTTGATGCGCTCCATTTTTGAGCTATTATTTATTTCGTTATTTTACTGCGCTAAACGTCCGAAAAATTCGATGAACGAGGAAATCAATAATTCGGTTCTCATATATCATCTACGGATGATTGACCGGGGGATTTAAATAGAATGGTTTCACTTCGATGTTCCGGTGTTTGATAAACCTTTCACCATTCTCTTACAATCTTTTGTCATCTTATTTTACCAATTGGCAATTATAATCCCAGCTTCCGTAAAAGTTTGTCCATATATCCTTAAAATTTAATAATTTATTAGTAATTATTTACAAGGGCTCCGACATTTTAATTTTTATTTTTTCTTTGAAAATTTTGATATATTTAAAAAAAAAAAAAAAAAACATGACATTAAATTGAGTCATTTTACAATTTTTTTAATTTTCTTTAATAAATTATGGCAAAAAATAAATTATTAAAAAATGGACTTGTAGAAATTTTAATAAATTAAAAATGCAATTTTTTAAAAATATCAAAAAAAGATAAAATAAAAATTTTATCCAAAAAAATGAGAGCCAAAATTTTTTTCAACTTTTAAAGGCAAAAAAGCTTTATTTTTACTTTTCACAATATTTTTTATTAAAAATGCGCCGTAAAAATAAGTAGTTTAAAAAATAAATTGTAAAATGTTAATTTTTCACCTAAATATGGCCAAAAATAGGGTGGACCCTATTAAATAATTATGTAAATAATTATTTTGTCCCAGTGAAAACTTTTTAAATTTTAAATATATTTTTTTAAGTTTATCGTATTTAATAAATTATTAATTAACTGAATAAATATAATTTAGGTATTTTTTTTAGAAAGTTTCTAACTCCTCACTTATGACAAAATGAATTTTTTAATTAAAAACTTCTAATACTTGATATGTTATCTTTAAAACACGTAATTAATTACATTTTTTAAGTAATGAGATTGAAAAAATTAAATTTTATTAAAAATTAGGTAATTTTATAATCAATAAGATTGATTAATTATTTATTTAAAGCTCTCAGCGTTTCACAATTTATAATTTACAAAGTTATAGATCGGAAGACTTTAAGTGTTTTATAAATATTTAATTTCGCTTAGCCTTATTACGAATTACTCAAGTTCATTATTTTATTATAAACTCAATTAGATTCAGAAGATATTTATATTTATAAGTTCTAGAATTTATTTCTTTTATTAAAAAAAAAATAATATTTCCTATAAATCCATAAAAGGTATAATTAGCAAGCCCAATAGAATTTTCGACTCCTCTTGAATTAAAGGTTGACTTTCAAAATTTATTCTGTTGATTCTTAAATTTTCTTCTTTGAAGATAAATGATTTTAAACTTTTCAATTTAGCGAAGAATGTTTTTATGAAAGAAGAAAATGAAGTTTAATATCCAGGTGATTTATAATAACAATAACATTATTATATTACTATCCATTATTATAAGAATTACAATCGCTGGATGATTAGGTTGGATGTAAGTGATCAAATATCCAACGCGGAACTAGTTAGTTTGATTTTTTTTTGTTTGATAAATAAATATAATATCCGTGATAGCCTACAGTGAGTGTAAGAAGAAAGATGAAAGTGTTTTGATCGTGAACGTCTGAAATAGAGTTGCGGTATATAAACCGCCTACAGTTCTTTCGTCATTTCAGTATCATTTTAATCAGAGCAGTGACATTGATCTTGTTTTTATTTTTATTAATTATTCACAATGATTTTATTTATTGTAAGTATTTATTTTATTTTATTTAATAATAATAATAATAATAACTAGCAACCTAGCACTATGTGACATCCGTGACTTGTGAGCTATAAAGAAATAAAATTTTGCTTTATTAAATAATGACTAGTGTTAAATTGGACTGTACTTTCTTAAATATTGACATTTTTAAAGATATAAGCTCATCCTGATGTTACACTCATCAAGAGCTTTCATTTGAGTACCCACATGCATTTTTGATATATTTCTCATATATACATATATGTAATATATATAAATATATAAAATATATAAAAAATTAATGTGGGTACTCAAATGAAAGGTCTTGATGAGTGTAACATCGGGATGAGCTTATATCATTAAAAATGTCAATAGTTCACAAAATATAAGGTCATTTTTTAATTATTGATATTTTTTAAGATATAAACTCATTTTGATGTTACACTCATTGAGACCTTTCATTTGAGTACCTACATCAATTTTTCATACATTTTATATATTTATATATTTTACAAATACCATTTATATAAAATATATAAAAAATGCCATGTAGGTACTCAAATGAAAGGTCTCGATGAGTGTAACATCAGGATGAGCTTATATCTTTAAAATTGTCAATATTTCACAAGATACAAGGCCCTTTCTTTATTATGTAGGTAGAGTATTTTGAAATACAACCTGAATTTATTGGATTTTTATAAAATTATGTAAAAAATTTTATTATTATTATTTTGAGAGAAATATTGAAAATATGAAAAAATGATACCTTTTTTGTAGAAAATAAAACAGATCTCTATCAATTTTTGATATCTTCAATCTACAAGACAGAATATTGATTTTAAACAAAAAATAAATATTTATTATTATTATAAAACTAAAAAATATTAAAGATATTAAGCCTGATCAGCATCTCAGCATCTCACACGTGGGACGGGAGTGAGGATTATCAATTTCCACGTCCACGTTTAATTTCCCAGTCATTTGACATAAAAGACGTTCCAACGAAGATTATCAAAATAACTAAAACGATCGCCGTCCGGGTCCCGGTGCCGTATCCAGTAAAAGTGAGTAATTAATTATCACCAATAAATATCATCAACAACAAACTAAAAATTTTTACTGCTATCCTTATAGGTCCCGTATCATGTTCCAGTCCCGGTGCCAGTAAATCATCCGATACCGGTCCCCGTTCCACAGATTGTTAAAGTTCCTGAGCACATACCCTACGAGGTATCGAAGCATGTACCGGTGCAACTTAAACAGCAGGTGCCCTTCTTTATTTCCAAACCCGTGCCGATACCTCATCCAGTTCCCGTGCCGCATCCCGTAAGAATAGATCGGCCCATTCCGTATCCAGTTCCTTATGAAAATTACCAACAACACCTACAAGATCAGCACTACCAGGTTCATGAGAATCATCAATCCGAAGAGAGCCAACACAATTTTGTTCAGCATGATCATGATGATCAAGATCATCATCATTAAATTTAATTTTGTGATTTTAAATTGTTAATTATATGTATACGGAAAAATTATGAGACATTTTTTTTAGTAAATTTCCAACAAAAAAAATACTTATAAATTTTTCTGTATCTAATTTTGGAGCCAAAATTAATATTTAAATTAAAGAAAATATTTCAAAATTACTAAGTCATAAAAATTGCGACATAAATAAATAAATAAATAAATAAAGATAAATAATTAAAATTTGAATTTTTTATTACTTATATAATATAACATACAGTGCTCTGAGTATTTCAATACCCACTTAATCAAACCCGGATGATTAACTGGCAGTATTAGTCAATGATAATCGGCTGTGCGATTCCATAAGAGTAGTGTTGGGCGTACGGCTGATGAAAGGTCGCATCAGGTACTTGAACAGCTAGCGGTATCTGGTGAAACGTTGGAGCTACTGGGACGGATTTAACTCCTCCAAGGTGGTACGGATTGTAGACAGAAACTTGCGGCTGTAACTAAGGGCGTTAATAATTAGAAAGTTACAATTATATTATTATTAATACTATTTTAATATAAACTAGCAATCAGTCACTATGTGACTGCCGGGACTTGTGAACTATAAATAAATAAGATTTTGGTTTATTGAATAATGACTTTTGTTAAATTGCATTGTACTTTTTTAACTATTGATTTTTTTAAAGATATAAGCTCATCCCGATGTTACACTCCTCAAGAGCTTTCATTTGAGTACCCACATGCATTTTTGATATATTTTTCATATATACATATATATATAATATATATTTTAAAGATATAAGCTCATCTTGATGTTACACTCATCAAGAGCTTTCATTTGAGTACCCCTATGCATTTTTGATATATTTTTCATATATAGGGGAGGGGGGGGGCAAAATGGGGTACTTAAGCAATCGTTATGATTTTAAGGACTTAAATACGCTGATTTTTCTCGTTTTCAGTCGTAATTAAAGGAAAATAATCAAATTTCAAGTTGCCGTAGAAAAAAAAATTTTTTTTTTTTTGCGGGCAAAATGGGGTACTCCCTGAAAGAGTGAAAAAAAAATTTCTTCATCCGAAAATGAAATATCGTTAAAAAAATAACATTTTCTTATCGATAAGTCTACGAAAGAACCCAAAAAGAGGAACAAATTACCCAAAAAAGAGACATTGTTAGTTGAAGCAATATATTCCTAACAAAAATTGAGGTAGTAAAAAAAATTTTAAAACTTTGTCGTAATTTTTGACGGATTTCGTTTGAGTAAAAATAATATCAAGATAAAAAAAAAAGAGTTCTCTTGAGAAAATTCTAGTATTTGGAACTCCCAATCAGTGGAATTGCACAAAAGTTATGAGAGGTTTACACACTGATAGTAATTTTAACTAGACTCAAGAGTAAAAATCTTGATTCAAGAACACCAATTGGAAGAAAATGAATTTCTTGAGCCAAAAGGAAAAATTCTTGGGTCAAGATATATTTTCTTAACTCAAGAGAATCTATCATGACTCAAGAATTTTTCCTCTTGGCTCAAGAAACTCATTTTCTTCCAATTGGTGTTCTTGAATCAAGATTTTTACTCTTGAGTCTAGTTAAAATTACTATCAGTGTGTAAACCTCTCATAACTTTTGTGCAATTCCACTGACTTGAACGACAATCGCGTTATTCGATAAGGTTCAGCAAAACTTAGACTTCCTCATAAATTTAAAATAACTTTTTTCTTTCAACAGCTTTTAAACAGATGTACCAATCAATTCCAAAATCTAAACAGTTCTTTAATTAAAAAAACGACGTTGACTGCTGCAAACCAGATTAAAATCGGGTGATGTGTTAAAGAGAAATCGTACACTAATTATTTTAAAAAAGTGCCTTTTTCAAATAACGTCGAATTTATTCTAGAATTATTTTTGATGACATAATTTAACTACGAATGCTCAGAAAACTGAGTCAGAGACCGCCAATTGCTTCAAAATCATTTGATGCGCTTGTGAGATAGCTAAAAAAGCTTTTTGGAAAAAAAAATTTTTTTTACGAAATTTTGGGGGTACCCTATTTTGCCCCCCCCCCCTCCCCTACATATATACATATAAATATATAAAATATATGAAAAATTGATGTAGGTATTCAAATGAAAGGTCTCGATGAGTATAACATCGCGATGAGCTTATATCATTAAAAATGTCAATAGTTATGCTTATTCTTTTAATAATTATAGATCAGCTACAGATTTCTCAATAAAATTCTTACCGGAACTTTGTAATGTTTTTCGATAGCCACTGAGTGGTGTGAACTCGGTAATGGAACAACATACTCTTTTTGCGAGTAGATATAATCCGGAGTGAGAGCGTATCCGTATCCCAGATCAATGAGTCCTCTTTTATCCTTTTTGAAGTCTATTTCTTTTTTTTTTATTGCTGCGCCAAGCGCAAGCGACAAAACAGCCATCAAAATAATTATTGTTACCTAAAAAACATAAATTATATTAATTTTATTAATTATTTGGACAATTATTAATAAATTTTGTGACAAAAAAATTATTTTTCTTAAAGAAAAAAAAATTATTTTGAACCAAAAAAATTTTTTTAATTGATAAAATAAATTTTTAATAAGTGCAATTGAATAAAACTTACCTTAGCCATGTTGAGGAGTTTTTCAGAAACTGTGAAGACTTTTTAAAATCGATAGCTTTTATATAAAACGGCCCTTGATATAAAACCAGCTAAACTTATTATTGAGTGGGATCGATGACGAAGGACGCTAATAATTTCCACGAATTGTTGCGCAACTTTAATGGTTCCCATAAAAATACTAACGTCACATCCCACGTTACAGCGCTTCACCCTGGGACTTATCTGTTAGAGTTCCTGATTTGTTCTGGTCTCTTCTATGGGAATTAACGTTTGTTTTTACAAATACCAAACAAAACACCTGTCTGAGAAATGAAAGTACTTTGGGATTTATCGTTTCCGGCCTTCGGAATCGGATAACATATATAATATAACGTTTAGCCATAACGAGCATATTTCGAGAGGCTTTACATCTCTGTATGTACTTAGTACTATTACTATTACTATTACTATGTTTATCTAAGTACACAATCCGATTATAACTTTGTTAATTGGGTATGTTTTTACCACATGTAATTCGTAGTCCATTATATGTATATGCTAATGCATCTCATTCATTTTATCTCTTTATTTTATGACCGTCTTTGGGCTTATTCATTTGAATCTTTATTTTGTACATTTACTTACTCAAATTTTACTTATTCATTTATTTTTATTATGATTATTGTTGTTATTATTTTTGGGAAATACTTTTTGTGTTTTTTCATAATTTTTTACTCTTTAATTATCATTATTATTCAATAAAATAAGTAGAATTTTTATTTATTAAATAATGAATTTTGTTAAATTGCACTTTACTTTCTTACATATTGACGTTTTTAAAGATATAAGCTCATCTCAATGTTACACTCATCAAGAGCTTTCATTTGAGTACCCACATGGATTTTTTATATATTTTTCATACATACATATATGTAATATATATAATATATATAAATATATAAAATATATGAAAAATTGATGTGGGTACTCAAATGAAAGCTCTTTATGAGTGTAACATCGGGATGAGTTTATATCTTTAAAAATGTCAATAGTTAACAAAATACGAAGCCATTTCTTAATTATTGACATTTTTTAAGATATAAACTCATTTTGATGTTACACTCATCGAGGCCTTTTATTTGAGTACCCACATGCATTTTTGATATATTTTTCATATATACATATATATAATATATAAAATATATGAAAAATTGATGTGGGTACTCAAATGAAAGGTCTCGATGAGTGTAACATCGGGATGAGCTTATATCTTTAAAAATGTCAATATTTCATAAGATACGAGGTAATTTCTTAATTATGTACCTAAAGATAGAGCATTTTCGAATGGAGCCTAAATACTACTAATTATTATAAATAGACTATCGGTGAGAATGATATGATAATTATTATTATTGTTATTTTGTAAAATTTATGTCAAAGATCTAAGATAAAATAAAACAACATAGCGCGCCCTTTTGTCGCATATATAAATAATAAAAAAAATGAAACTAGATGCATGTAAGTACATTTAGAATTTACATTGTATATATATGCAATTGAGTGACGAAACAGTACATTCGTTTTCCCACGATTAATAAGTAAAGTTAAAGTCTATCCCGGTGAATAGAGAACCCACAAAGCTGAAGCTTTCGCAATCCATTCAGAGTTACAATATACTTTATTTATTTATTTATTTAATAGTCCTATGTGATGGGAGCAATAAAAGCGTATAATTTTATTAAGAAAACATTAATAAATTTATTGATCAATTTGCTATTGTATTACACTGAGAGCTCGAAGCTAGTGTCTTGCATTTTCACAATATTAATAATGAATGATGCTTTTATTTCGATGATTTGGTGTCAGATATTATTTATCATTAATAATTAATAATTATCATTACAATTAATATTTATTTGAAAAATACTGTAGGAATGAATTGAGATTTAAGTTTGTTGATTTTGATGCATCATCGTTTAGTAAAGGTGTCCGTAACCGTGCTCGAAACCGTGTCCGTAGTCGTGTCCGTGTCCGTGTCCGTGGACGTAAACTGGGACCTTTTCTTTGATGTAAACTGGGTGTGGGACGGCAACTGGTACTGGATGGGGTTCAGGTACCTATTTTCGGCAAAATTAATTTAATTATAATCATTAGTCACAATTTAAATTGATAATCATAGAAAATAAATAATAAATATAATTACTTTTACGGGGTAGGGCGCAGGTACTGGAACCTTAACTGGTACTGGGTAGGGTCTGTCGACTGGGACATGAACCGTCTTGGTCTTGATCACTGGGTACGGCTGGGGAACTGGAACCTTAACTGGTACTGGGTAGGGTCGGTCGACTGGCACCTGAAAAATAGTTTAAAAAAATTTTACAATTTTATCCAAATTGTGAGCAAACAAATTAGATCTTTTTTATTTAGAAATAAATTTAGACAATTTCCCCATATCTCCAATATTTAACCCACAATTTGACTTCAAACTTTCTAGAAACAATCTTAACTAAAATTCAAATCGTCCAACTCTAAACTTTTATCCTTTGACTTCAAATTGTGAGCAAACAATCAGTTACAAAAATATTCAATAAGACCTTTTTTAATCAGAATTGAATTTCCTAAAAAAAAAAGGTCTTATAATTTTTCCGTATTTCCAATATTTAACCCACAATTTGACCTCAAATTTTCTAGAAACAATCTTTATCAAAATTCAAATAGTCTAGTTCTATATTTTCATCCTTTAACTTCAAATTGTACGCAAATAAAAAAAGAAAAATTACAGAAAACTGTTAAAATTACAGTTTGAGATTGTAATCGTTACAGATTTTATAAGAATTACCTTATAGAATGTTATAATTACATTGAAAGCTTTGAAAATTAATATTCAAAGTTTGTATTTAGAAAAATGTTATTTTGAACTGTAATTTTTCTAGTTTTTAATACCACAGGTCACTTATTACTATTTATAATGTAATTTTTCGATTTTTCTTTGTTCCGAGGAGCTACAAAAATTTTCAAAAAGACTTTTCTTTTGTAGGAAATTAAATTTTCTAAAAAAAATCTTGCGAATTTTCCGTTTGTTTAAAATGTTTAACCCAATTTCCAATTTGACCTCAAACTTTTTAGAAACAATCCTTATTAAAATTCAAATAGTCCAAATCTAGACTTTCATCCTTTAACTTCAAATTATGAGCAACCAATCAGCTACGAAAATTTTTAATAAGACCTTTATTTGTAGGAAATTAAATTCCCTAAAAACAGTCTCTTACAATTTTTCCGTATTTCCAAAATTTAACCCACAATTAAAAAAGTTCCAAAAATTCTTACCTTGACGGGGTAGGGACGGTCAACATGAACTGGGTACGGTTTTGGAACTGGGTATGGAACTGGGACAGCTTTGACATGTACGGTGTGGTGTTCATGGTGTCCCAAATCGTGTCCGTAGTATCCGTGGTCTAACCCGTGACCGTAGTCGCCGTAGCCGTAGCCGAGGCCAAAAAGACCGCGCTTTTTGGGGGCTTTCTCTTCTTCTGCGACGACCGCAGCGACGAGCATTAAGAAAATCTAAAAAAGAATAAAGAAAATTACAAACTCGATAAATTAATAGAGTAATTATGATTAAAGAGACCTACCAAGACCTTCATGTCGACCAAGCACTATTTACTAGTTCAGTTAAGTCTGTTCTGAGGATATATGCTGAAACAACCCTTTATATAGGGAATTCACTTTCATTTGGCCATACCACCCCCCTCGGGCCCCGGGAGTCCAAGTTCCTTCTATTCTGACGCCACACCTACTTACCTTACACGCATTTACCTAATACACATACCACCAGCGATTCGCGATTCGCGATCTGTTGCTCTACCTTTATCTTTACTTTGTATTCTTGTATAATAATGCATAATACATTTATATATATTTTATACGCTCACATATGTACCGTCAAGCGACAGTCGAGCCGTTGTATAACTCATGAACTTATAATGATCGTTTCTCTGTATGTAAATCCGTCGCGGGAACAGTTTATATTCTTCGCTTTTTATACTTATTTATTTATTTATTTATTTATATTTAGAGTATTTAATTCATTCTTAAGCCATTCTTTGTGTTAATTAATCACCTACCAAAAGAATTTTCGATTTATTATTTTATTACTCTAACTTTCTTTGAATATTTAATGCAATAGCTAATTTTATTTTAATTTTGTATGTTAGTTAACTTTTAAAACTTTATGACTGATAGAAATCAGTCATAAATTTGTTACTGAAATCGCAAATATTTGTTGAGCAATAGTTTGTTCAATATTTCTGAATTTTTTTTTAATATCTTCAAATTTATAGAAAATTTTTTCTTGCAAGTTAACTTTTTTTTAAATTTTCAATTTTTAGAAATTGTTATTAGTATTTAATAAATATTTATTAATTATTAATAAACATTTATTTAGACTCTTCAATAAAAAAGTCTATGCAGAAATTTTAAAAATTTTTATAATCCCAAAATTTGACGAGATAATAAAATTTTAATAATTTAATCTTTTAATAAAATTTATTTAAAAATTTTTAAAAGCCAATTTTTCCATCTAATTTTATTTCAAATTGGCTTCATTGAAAAATATTTGTTTTAATACAATTAACTAACTATTTAAAAAGAGGTATAAATATCCTTTTACTGATAATGAAGTATATTATAAACCCTTGAAAAAATTAATTATTGAAAGGTTATGCTTAATAAATTAAAAAATAATTTCTGAATAAATTAAGACACCTTTATCAATCTAATTAGATTTCTTTTATTAAAAGGTGTCTACATTATTATGAAGAATATAAATAACTTAACCAAAGAACCAGACTAGGGTGCGCCCTAATATAACACTAATGCGGATCTGTTCTCACGAATCCGCGGGTGAGGTTAGGATTTAATCTCCGATATATAAATAAACAAATAAATAAATACAATTGAATCGAACACATGCGTGATCTGTTATTCTAAGCTTCAATTTATTCTCACGATTGAGAAAAGACGCAAGTAATTAACAGTAAAATTGTCAAAAGAATATATATTAATAAAAAATGACGGAGATTAATGGTCATGATGAGTGAACGGGAGTAATAAAATTTGGAATGCGCATTTTGGAATAATTCGAGGATGCGCTGCATGTTTTGCGGAAATTTCAAAGTTACTTTAATTATAAATCGGTAAGATGGTAATTCAGCCCTTGGAAAAAATTTCGAGGTAAGGGTTTCAGCAATAAACACGCATGAGAATGAAAATTAACCGGTCTCGTTATTACGCAAGTGAAAGAACCGAGTGAAAGAGAACAGAGACGCAAGATCGAATGTAATTGTTGTAAATATAGATGGATTGGTGCAAGTATAGCTATAACTAAAGACACTTGAGAATCCTGAAGTGATGTGAAACCGCTGAAAGATTATCCTGGGGACCGGCAAAGGTATATTGATACTATTATATAGACTTTGTCGGGTTAGTTAGCTGAATATTTTATTATAATTAGATGGATCTCAGTCTGAGATAAATAAAATAGCTACACAGGAAATCGTTTTGTCGGAGTTTGTTGGGAATATTTTGCACCAAAGAAAATGCTGGATTTTATTAGAAATAATTGCTCAGGTGGTTAATAATTATTAATCTGGACCTCTCGGCACCTATCGCAGGATTTCCGATTGCAAAAGTTAATTTTATTGAGAATTATTATTTTATACTCAATTTGTAGTTTTATTTTCAATATTAATAATTATTAATCAATATTTATTAAATAATTTATGTTAAAAAATATTAATTAATAGTAAAAAAATATTTTTTAACTTATTTTAAATTATTTTTAATTTATTAAAGATAAAAAATTCTTAAAAATTCTTAAAAAATTCTTAAAATTCTTAATAAATAAATTAATTAGTATTTAATAAATATTAATCAAATAATGTGACATAAAAAAATTATTTATTAACAGTAAAAAAAATAAATTTCATTAATTTAAATATTAAAAAAAGAATTTTTTTTTTTTTTTTTAAGTAAAAAATAAAAAAAAAAAATGATAAGTTACTTGGAAAATTTTTAAAAGGGTAATAAAAACGCGATGTACGATAAATAAATAAAACAAAGAATGAGTACGCGAGAAACCGTTAATCCGAACAATAGCAAGGTTGTTAACAATTGAGCGGCCGTGACCGAGACTTGCGATAGGTCATAGACATGCATTACTTTGTAGTCTGTCTTGTAATTATCATATTAGCTGATATGAGTTTATATTGCGGGTGGCAGTGAAAAAATTCACCCTGTCTAACGGCTTCAAGTCTGAGACAGAGACCTTGAGATATTTTTTAAAAATCCGCTGTTATGTAATTTACTAATAAAACATAAAAGCAGTTTTTAATGATAATGATAACTTGATAACGGGTTGAGAGTAGATGGTCGGGAATTAATGAATCGGCTGTACCGGTGAGTGAATGACAATTAGCATAAACCATTACCGGGAGATAAGAGGCATTAACTTGTTTAGCGGCATTTATAATCAGTGTAATTTAATAATTTAATATTTAGAATAAGAGAAGACGCGAAATATTTCAATAGAAAATAAAAGGATTAGAAAATGAATAAGCTGATAATAAAATTCAGATTTATATATTGTCGGACTATAAAGCCTGGGTTACTTAATAGCACCGCATTAATGCGTCGAGTGCGTGTTTAACAGCCGTCTGACGTAATAACATACCGTGGTAATATTATATTATAGTTTGCTGAAAGTATAAATATATTACGAGGATAAATAATAGCGATGTTGCCCGAGAATCTGTGTCGTTTCGCTCTACATCCTACGGTCAATTAGATATTCAGATTAGAGATTCTTAATCAAGGGGAAGGGAGGTTGTACCCTCTTGTACCAGGTGATGCCACCGTTTGTCTTTGTTTTTGTTTAGAAGTCGTGGATATTTAACACTACGACTTTTGATCGAGTCTTTATGCTCTAATAATTGTATAACAAAGTTCGATATGCAATTCTCAGGTACTTGTTTGCTTTTTATTGCTGTTATTAGTCCGTTTAATTGTTCGGATAAGTTGGTAATGGTAATAAAATTGTGAGGTACAGGCGATTAATTATTATTGTATAATTATTTTTTATTAAAGAATTATGATAATGATATAATGACGTGAATGATTATTATTTTTGGAAATTTTGATTTTTTGTAAATTCAAAATTAATATTTTTAAAGATATAAGCTCATCTTGATGTTATACTCATCAAGAGCGTTCATTTGAGTACCCACATCAATTTTTCATATATTTATGTATGAGGCCACTTTTGACACCGACCTTTTTCGATTTTTCTGAAATTTTGGTATCTTTCTCTAGCCTATTGAAAACAATTTTCAGAATTTTTTCAAATTTTTTTACCCAACCAAAAAAAAGTTACGAGTTATTACAAAAAAACAGCTTTTTTTTTGTTAAATAACCATAACTTTTTTGAAAATTGTACTTTTTGGGGTTTTTTTTTTTTTTAAATTTTTGTCTTTAAATGTACTTTAAAAAAAAAAAATAAAAATAATAATTCGGATTCATATTCAATGTTTTTTTAACTTTTTGGAAAAAACGAAAATTTCGGGATGATTGACATTTTTGATTTTCGATTTTTCTTTTTTATAAAAAACTTCAGTATTTTTTGCAAATTCCCTAAAATTTTCAGAGTGGTAAACTTTTTCTTTCTATTTTTTTTCAGAGTGGTATAACGGGATGAGCTTATATTTTTAATAATGTCAATAATCAAGAAATGACCTTGTATCTTTTTTCTACTACTGACATTTTTGAAGATATAAGCTCACCCTGACATTACACACATCGAGACCTTTCATTTGAGTACCCAAATCAATTTTTCATATATTTTATATATTTATAAATATATATTATATATATGTATATATGAAAAATATATCAGAAATGCATGTGGGTACTCAAATGAAAGCTCTCGATGAGGGTAACATCGGGATGAGCTTATGTCTTTAAAAATGTCAATAGTTAAGAAAATGCAGAGCAATTTATCAAAAATCATTATTTAATAAAGCAAAATTTTGTTTATTTATAGTTTACAAGTCACGGCAGTCACATAGTGACTGCAATGTTGCTAGTAATAATAATAATAATACATTTTTAACTCAAGATGTATTTATTATTATTATTAAAATTTTTAAATTGATAATAATAATTAAAAATTGATATAATTATCTGAATTAATTACCCATAAAAATTGGGTCTATAATAACTTATTATTAAATACTAGATAATAATAATAATAATAATAATAATAATAATAATAATAATAATAATAATAAAAAAAGTAATAAATAATAGTAAGAGCTCAACCCGGAGCCAATTTAGGTGGAATAGGAAGAGGAAGTATTGGAGCAACCCGATAGAATAAAACTGATAATACCGCTGTCAGTACAATGTTCAACACGTGGGTGTGTCACTCCAGATTACACAGGACTACAATCACGTTTTGTAATAAAAATAATAAATATCACGCCGACTGACGGCCAAATAATTCCAAATAAAATTCTTTTCCTCCAATTTAAAATTTATAAATCGCGGTCACTGATGATACGATTAAAAAAGACGCAATATATTTTAGCCT